TGGAAGCTCAAGAGAATCCCTCCCATACTCTTAGTTCCATGAAGGCATCTCTCCCAGTGCCTGGCATAGTGCCCTGCTTAAGAAATATTTGTTGAGTTGAATTTTAAAAGTTTATATTTCAGGAATATGAGTATTTATAATAAATAAAATGCATTCCCAGAAACATTTGTAGTAATAAGAACTACAAATACTCGATTTGGAGCCACCCTTTCCAGACAAAGTGCTACCTCCTCCCAGGATTTCTTTGACTGATGTGAAGAAAATCTCTTCCCTATCACTTCCATTTTTCCCCCCTCAGATGGATTATATTGAGTTCTCCCATTTTTCCTGTAGCTCTTCTACTTCAGAGACTTTTATCTTGTATACACACAGGTTCTCTTCCTCTCTTGTCTTTCTCTTCCAACACTATTAGCTCAGCAAAATATCTCCCTCTTTTGTCATATGTAGTGACAGAATGTTATAAGAAATGCTAATTGGTGATTAATATATGAAAGAGGAACCAGAGAGGTGTAGTACATATGTATTGCGTATTTATAATTATAATACTATGATGCCAATGTCTCATCATAAATTGAAGGTAACGCTCAATTCTTGAAGTCTGTGCTAGCAAAGGGTAGGCTTTGGCAGTTCCTATCAAGCTGGGAGGGATTTGAATATGGACCCAGTGAGATGTGTTGTCCAAGGACCAGTCTAGATGAATTCAGAGAAATTTATCCTAAGACTGACAGCAGGGTGATGAATACTTCTTCCTCAACAGCTGTCAAAGACCACCTACAAAGTTATGCACAGAAAAAATTGTAGATCTTTAAAATTGTTGTGATATATCTAGATGTCCCTGTATTGCACATATGCATGTATTTGTATCTAGAGTTATGTTGAATGTTCAAATTTGAAGTGTTGCCCAGAAAGGTTAATCCTTTAAGTCTTTAAGATGTCCATGAGAAATAATCAAGGAGTCTCTGTCCATATGGCAGTAGACCTACTTCCTAACCTGTAGCTGCATTCAAAGCTCACCATTTCCCTGGGTGCCAGCCATTTGGGCACTAGCACAGGAAGACAGCAATTGATTGGTTCAACCAAAAGTTATTATGAGAAGGCTTCTGGAATTGTTTGATCATCAAGTATGTAAACATACAAAGCCTCTTTGTCTTACTACTGCTGATAATCATCATGTAAATGTTTTTTTGAGTCTACTTATGAGTAGATTCATGAGTGTGTATGTGTGGGGGGGGTGGTTAGGTGGGAGGAGGTGGGGAATCCCCATAAGATTATACAGGATGAGTAGATCGGTCCATGCAAGATGTTTTTTGGAGATGATTCAGTTTGTTTCGGAGGTGTCTGAGCACATGGCTCATTTTTGTGGTCAAATCATGTAGGATGCAAGAATCACATGGTGTTATTTAGGAAATTCAACATGGAGGGAGGGGTCAACATGGAGAGGGGAAATGAAGAAACATCGACTATACAAACATATTTAGAAATGTTTCCTCAATGTCCTAGTTTTCTAGAAGAAGAGAAATGTGTCAGCTGCTCACTGGGAGTGAAGTTACAAGGCTGCCTTATTGACTTTCAGCCTAATTTTGATGGCTTTGCATGACTGGGCCATGTGTAATCTAAGCAGCAGCTCTTTGACTGGATGTGGGGGAGGGGAGGAAAGGAAGGAGGAGGAATCTAACCAATTTTGAATCTCATTTCCAAAGCCACAGGACGTATTTCTTTACTCTCAAGGTAATTTGTGTGTTCAAAGCACAGCCTTTACTATGACCACTCTTTCCCCCCAAAAGCACTCTTTCTATTTTATGTTTGTTGACACATGTCTTTCAAATACCTGGATCATAAGTAGAACTTTTCTCCTTTTTCTCTTAAAGTCATAGCCATCAGTCATAGGCCTTGATCATTTCACTGCCTCTGTTGAACACTTGGCTAGCTTCCCGGGGATAAATCGAAACTTGCCCGCAGTAAACACTTTACATATTAAGTAATACACTCAAAGTCTTAATCCCTGGGGGTGAGAGGCAGCTCAGCTGAGTGGGCAGAATGCAAGATTGGAGATTAGGAAGTCCTGAGTTCAAATCTCAGGCTTAACACTTACTACTGTGTGACCTTGGGCAAGTCACTTAAAATCAGCTTCCTCATCAATTAAATGGGAATAATACCTGTACTACCTATCTCATAGGGTTGTTGATAGGCTCAAATAAGATTTGGTGCATATAAATACATACGCACATACACACATGACTATATTATATAATATGTGTACATGTATATGTGTGTGTGTTTGTGTCCATATATGTGTAGGTATGTATATGTGTCATTGAGGAAGCATCTAAGTAGCTCAGAAGATAGAGCTCTGGGTCAGGAAGACATGAGTTCAAATCTGGACTCAGACACTTACTAGCTGTGTGACCTTGGGAAAATCCCTTAACTTCTGTTTGCCTAGGATGGCCTTAATCCACTGGAGAAGGAAATGGCAAACCACTCCAGTGTCTTTGGCAAGAAAATCCCAAATGGGGTCACAAAGGGTTGGACACAACTGAATATACATACACGAATGTGTGTGTATATATTCATATATGTTTTATAATCTTTATTGAATTTTTCACTCTTTATCAGTTATAATACACACATATACACACTTTAAAAAAAGTAAAAATAAAGAAGAATATATTTTTTTGGTTCAGTTTGGTTCAACTCACCAACTCCATGGTTTTTCAGCCAAGGTAAGACTAATCAGGAGAGTTTAACCTTTTGACCCCTCTGTTCTACATTCCTGGACATCCCTCTTATTGGAATTGATTCATTGGTTTGCCAAACATACATAGTGGCTAACTAAATCACTTCTCCCTTTCTCCTTCCCCTCTTTCTCCCTCCCTACTGCCTTTGGTAAATGGAATTCTTGGCTATATGGTACTGGGACTTCCAATGACCAGCAATGCACACGTCATACATACTTAAAAAAGAATTGTTTTGTATTCAGAACATTTCTTTTTTCCCAGGCAGATTGCACAGAAAGGCTCTCTCAAAATGTGAATTTGCATTGTTTCAGGATCAGACTCCCCATCTCATGAAAAAAGTCATTTCAATTTTAGCTCTGTAAAAAATAACATGGAGATTATTCTAAGAACAGTTTTGTTTCTTCTCTTTTTTATAACACCTCCTCCCTACTCTAGCTTTGCTGTAGCAGAGCAAGTTGAATAAATCATGGGTAAATATTTTTAAATACTTTGTTATCATGGTTTTCTCTCTACTCACTGCAAATCCGGGTCTCCTTTTTCTATTAATTTCGTATATTGTCCTTTGCAGAGAGGCCAATATTTTCTTGAGTTGTATGTACATGATGCCAAACTTCTGGATAAGGAAAAAAAATCTTATCTACCAGCTGTTGAGAAACATCTGGGGAAGATGCAGATCAAGCATCTGATCACTGACTAAATGTTTCAACCTTTTTCCAGATGCATGGCATTATATAGGCAAAACTATTGTCTAACTGTTATTAATGGATTTCTTTTTACACCTGAACCTCAATTAATCCCAGTTCTTTGATATATAAAATATGTCAGAAATTGTCTGGCAGAAGGGTCCTTTGATCATTGTTTCAGTGTGTTTTATTGGTATCAGTGCTGCTCTTAGCAATAAAATATTGAGGGTGCCGGCAAGTATGGAGAATTCATAATTGTCTCCTTGTAGAACTGGGTTTGTAGAATTAAGGGTTTGGGGGTATGTGCATACGTGTGTGGGGATAAAAGAGATGTCATTTAGAATTTAACATTTTGTCTGTCAATCTAAATAGAAATACAATTCTAGAGGAATTCAAAGAAACATGGCAAGGCTTTTTTGAACTGATGCAGAGCAATGAAAGAAACAGAAGAGTAATATAGTCAATGACTATAATAATATAGTTGGAAACCATACTAAATAATAATAGTTAACATTTATATAGCACTTACCATATGTTATATAAATTATTATTGTGGGACAGCCAGATGGTATAGTGAGTAGAGTACCAGGCTGGGAATTAGGAAGACATAAGTTCAAATCTGGCCTCAGACACTTCCTAGCTGTGTGACCCTGGGCAAGTCACTTAACCTTGTTTGCCTCAGTTTCCTCATCTGTAAAATGAGATAGAGAAGGAAATAACAAACCACTCCAGTATCTCTGCCAAGAAAAGCCCAAATGGGGTCACGAAGAGTCAGATACAACTAAATGACTGCACGATAACATTATGTGCCAGACACTGTATTAAGCATTTTATGATTAATATGTCATTTGATCCTCAACACAACCCTGGGAAGTAGGTACTATTATTATCCCCATTTTACAGATATGGAAACTGAGGCAAACAGAGGTTAAGTGACTTGCCCAGGGTCATACAGCTAGGAAGTATCTGAGGAAGGATTTGAACTCAAGTCTTCTTGACTCCAGGCCAGGTGCTCCCTCCATTGTGCCTCCTAGATTAAGCTTCTCTGGCTCTATAAAATAAGTGGGTTAGATTAGGTGCCTTCTAAGATGTCTTTCAACTTGAACTTTATAATTTCATGTAGACAGAGTAATAAGAAGAACCTTGCAACCCTCTGTTTGCTAGAGAGATGACTGACTGTGTATGGGATATTGCTTAAGCTCTCAGAAATAATTGCTGTGTGCACTGTTTTTGTTTAACTATTTTTCTTTGTTATAAGAGAGGGTTCTGTGAGGCAGGCTTGTTATGCTAGGAAACAATGAATTGTGAAAAAATAAAATAAAAGGCATGCAACTTAAAAAAAATAGATTGGTGGAATTTTATCAAAGCAATGAAGATTTTTAGAAACTTTGGTGTTAAGACCACAATGAGTGGTCTAATTACAGTTATTAAGTAAAGGGCATTTATCTCTGTGGGTAGTTGTCTTTTCCCCAGAATTCTATATAACTTATGTGATGCCCACACATTCTGTATGTGTCGTTTCTAACTCACTCTTGGTATTTCATGTGACATCATTTTCCTTCTTTCCCCTCTCTCTCTACAGTTTGCCAAGGAACAAGTAACAAGTTGACCCAGTTGGGTACTTTTGAGGACCACTTCCTGAGTCTCCAGAGAATGTTCAATAACTGTGAGGTGGTACTTGGAAATTTGGAAATCACCTATGTCCAAAAAAATTATGACCTTTCCTTCCTAAAGGTGAGTATGACAGAGCTGATTTTCCTCTTCATCCCACCCCCAAAAGAGGGTAAATGAGAAGTCACATGAGCAATAAAAGAATTGTCATAGAGTTAAATTCCAATGTACTTTGGATCCAGGAATTAAGATTTCAAGACATACATATTCAATAGGAAATACTTATTAAGTCATACTCTAGCTACACGTTGCATTTTCAAAATAAACTGAAAAAGAACACCCATGTGTGGGATGGTTTGGATCCTGGGAATATGTTGAACTTTCTCTCTCATTGTAATTTTAGTGTTCATGGTGGCTTCATGGAGGTGGGTGTGGGGGTTTGATGGGTGGCATTTTTATTTAAGTACCAGGGAAAGCACAGGAGATCAGGACTTGAGTTTACCAGTTTTCATCTAATTTTAGACAAATAAGAAGGCACAGTTTCTATGTGTTGAACTGTCTAGTCAAATGACAGAGCCAAGTGACTTGTGGGGGTTCTAAATTAACCAAGAGAGGTCTTCTTTAAGGCTGATTTTTTTGAAAGGAAAATCTGTCATAATTTATCTAAATCCTAAATTATTAAGTGTGTCTGCTCCTGATCAGTTTTAATAGTTACCTTTTGTATACTTTTTATGTATTTACATACAATTCTCATGCCATGCATGTTCAACATAATAACACGTACATGAGTGTCATCCATGCCTTCGTGCCCTTGCCAAGTTGATCACCATGCTTCCAATGCAAAGCCTTCATCCTTCCACCTGGGAGAATCCTCAGCTTCCTTCAAGGCTGAGCCTACTTGGTGCCTTCTGCATGGGACCAAACATAACTTTGTATTTACCCTGGATAAATTTTCTATTTATTGCATTCATGTTGTCTTCCCCATTCCTACCACCCCAAATAGAACATAAGCTCCTTAAGCACAGAGAATGTTTTTGTGGTTGTTGTCGTTTGGAACTCTGAACTCTGTAACTGAGTATTGTGGGCATTTAATAAATGCTTGTTGAATGATTGAGTGCTTGCATAGATGAATGAATGAATGAATGAATGAATGAAATCTCATGCTCCTCTGATGACAAATAATAATGTAAAGAAATGTAAAACTACTCTTTCTTTATTTCTCCAGACCATCCAGGAGGTTGCTGGCTATGTGCTCATTGCTCTCAATGCAGTTGAGAAAATTCCTTTGGAAAACCTGCAGATCATTCGAGGAAATGTGTTGTATGAAAATTTTTATGCCCTTTCTGTGCTCTCCAACTATGATGTGAATAAAACAGGAGTGAGGGAACTGCCCATGAGGAATCTACTAGGTAAGAGACTATCTGGGGATATACTATGAGGATGAAGCAATTGGAATTTTTAAAGTCCCTCACTGAGGAATTAGCAGGTTTTGGATATGGGGAGAAAGGGTGAGGGAGGGTATTCTAGGCAGGAGAAGCAGCATGCACAAAGGTCTGGGCTGGATGTGGCCTGTCCATAGGAAGCCCCTCTTTGTGTCACCAGAGAGAACTTAAGTGAGGCTCCTAGTAAAGGCTAGAATAATTGGTTTCACAGATTCCCTTTTGTTCTCCTGCCACCACCACCATGTTGCCTTTTCTTAGAACAAACATTTGCTCAGAATGCAGTAAAAACCAACATAGCTTTATCTGAGGACAAAAATCCATTATAAAAATACAGATAGCTAATAACAAGGAAACTGAGGGTAAGCCATGCCAGTTTTTTAAGAAAGGAATGAGGCAAGGGAGAGAGAAATCAATACATTTATCAGATCCCAGGAGCAGAAAAGCAACAACAATCAAGCCGCTGGCAAGTTCTATCCATGCAGATCGATCCTTCAGCATTTTAGTGAACCAGACAAGCCTCCAACTGTTCACAGCTATATTCTGTTTGCCACAGAATCTAGAAACCTTTGAGCTATCTCTGAATCACCTGTGTTCTCAGTCCTCTATATAGGAGGAATTACCAGCTGCCTTCAGTTCTTCCTTGAAAATGTCTGTTTCGTGTTACTGACTCACCCTAGATCAAGTCCCCATCACCTCAAACTTTGGTTATTGCTAGAACCCTCCTTAGTTAGTCTAGATCCATCCTGCCTTCTAATCCAGTCTACACAATGCTACCAGGTCAATATTCCCCTAACAGCACTTTGTCATAATCATTCGCATTGTTCAAAAATTTTGACTGACTCCCCTTTACCTGTAGAATATGGTATGTTACATTCAAGACTTGTGATTTCATTGGTCAGTCTTCTAATGTGGCTCCGCATCCCTACAAACTTATTGCCTAGAGTAGGGGTGGACATGCTAGGGCCTGCAGGCGAAATCCAGCCCACAATAATTTTGTTAGACTTTGCTGACCCCTGGCCAAGAGCAGTGGGAGTTTAAATGACTTGGTCAGTTTAAAGTGAGACTCCTTTTCTGGATTTCTAGTCTTATTTTTCTGCCATACTCCAACATGAACCTTCTATTCTCACCAACCTCCTCACTGTCTCTGTTCTATACCTTTGACTTCCTTTCCTAGAATTCCTCTTTCCTTCCTTTCTGTCTCTTTTTAAAAATAATACTATTCATTGATGACTTTTGTTTTTAACTCATGGTCATTTCTGTACATGTACACACACACACACACACACACACACACACACACACTGAATCCTACCTTGTGGTTCCCTGCTGCTATAGCAAAAGGAAACCTCTCCCTTTCCTCTCCATCATCGAAATCCTATCCATGTTTCAGAGCTCAGGTCAAATTAAGTCCCAATTCCTCCATGAAACCTTCACCATCTACTCTAGCTCCCACTGACCCCCTCTCTGTTACCCTCTGTAGGGCACTTGTCCTTCTTAGAAATGAAGATGTAAAAAAAACTTCACAAATATTTTGATTAGAATACAATTGAAGGTTTGTTTTCTTTTATTTATATAGAAATCCTTGTTGGTGGTGTTCGGTTCAACAATAACCCAACCCTGTGTAATGTGGAGACAATCCAGTGGAAGGATATTGTGGACTCCGCCTATTTAAACAACATCACAATAGACAATAACAGCCATCCTAAGAGTTGTAAGTGTTCTGTAAACTTTCTTCAAGCTGCCAATTCTAGTAATTCCCTGGTTCTGGGAAGGAGAGGAAGAATATTCATTCAGCATCTTTTCTAGAAGCTCCCCATCCCCCTGCCATTTTATTTTTTAAAAGGTAAATGAATTCTCAAGGTAGGTAAAACAGGGCCCATATAAGGGAGCAGAGGGAGTGAATACACTATTATGTGAGAGAAAGGAGTCACCCACATGGCACAGTGCATATTTTTACCTGTATGTCCCTAGACAAGTCACTTAACCTCCGCCTAGCTCAGTTTTCTCATCTGCAAAATGAAGGGAAGGGATTGACTTAATAGTCCCTATGGTCCCTTCAGTTTCTAATTAGATTGCTACAAACAACTCATTTTATAAGAAACTGATACCTTTATCTCAAGTCCGTATAGTCATGTATGAGTTATGTGATACAATTGGCTTTTAAGGAAACTATTTGGTGGGTAGTGGGAAGGGTAAATTGTCCAGGCTAGTAACCTGAACTATCATTCAAGAAATATCTCTATAAATATCCTCTGTAACTGTTGAGCCATAGATTAACCAGATTAGGCAACCAAGAAAGCCTTTGCTTTTCTCCTCAAATGAAGACTCTCAATTAGTCAGTCTCTCTGTAATGATTCTTGCTATGCTTTTGACTCTTCTAGACTGGGGTAGGAGCTATCAGAGGTTAGCCTCTGGAAAGTCTGCTCTATGGCTAATCATTGTCAGAATTTTTCTCTCTTAGATATTCTCCAGTAGAGAAGTAACCACTCTGTCCAATATTTATGCTTTATTTCAACACAATACGTATAATTTGTGTCCAAAGCATGAGACTGGTCATTGCTGTTAATGCCTGGTAGCTCTCAACAGTCTCCACATTTTGAGTTTGGGTCACAATGTATATGTCACAGGTGAAAATCAGTTATGTGTTAATGGGTCAGTTCAGTTTTCTAAGTGTTTGTTTGAATCAAGTTATTTGTGCCTTCATATTATTGGCTCCCGGTAAATGATAATATATGAATTTTACATTCATTTCAGAGTCTGAGTCAACATTTTCCTATAATACCTATAATCATAACATGGAGTCTTTATTAGTATGTAAGTTGATTTTTCTTAATGATAGAATTAGAAACAGCTGTAATTCATGTCCAAGTGATCACTTAGTCTTGTCATTACATATACATATGCAAACATATATATATATATATACACACGCATATATATGTATACACAAACTCACACACACACACACACACACACACGTTTTACACAGATGGTCATGCACACACACAAGGGCAGCCATCCATTATACCTGAGGGAATTGAGATGAGAATGGTGATCCTTGCAGAAACGAGCTATTTCAAAGGCTGTAAAATAAACAAAAACCCTTTTTATCAACCCTGGTTTAAAAATATATACATATAAAAAATTGTTTGGCCAGGCAATGGAGTTAAGTGACTTACCCAGGGTCACACAGCTAGTAAGTATTATGTGTCTGAGGCCGGATTTGAACTCAGGTCCTCCTGAATCCAGGGTCGGTGCTCTATCCACTGTGCCACCTAGCTGCCCCCCAAAAATATAATGAAATAAAATAAAAACAAAAAACTGATTATCAAATAATAAATATTTTAATTTACTAGAGAAAAAAGGAAACTTCAGGAATAAAATTACTTCTAAGTTATTAAATTATTACCAGGGCAGCTAGGTGGTGCAGTAGATGGAGCACCAGCCTCAGAGTCAAGAAGACCCGAGTTCAAATCCAGCCTCAGATACTTACAAGTTCTGTGACCCTGGGCAAGTCGGGTAACCCTGATTGCCTAAAAATAAAAACAAATTATTACCAAAAATTATTCTCGTGACTGATTTAATTTTTTAATCCATCTGATATTTCAGTATTTTCCTACTCTGTGCAACCTTGAAGAGCAAATACATACAGAATTATTCACATGAATAAATGACATACAGAAATTTACATGAATCAAGAAACTAAATTACATGTTGCAATAGTTTCTAAACAAAGAAATATAACTAACAAGTGTAATTTTAGGTACTTAAGAAAGTCCTACAAACCAGTAGCAGACCTCAATACACTAGTGAGTTTCTCAGGCCACTCAGCAATCCCTCAAATTGGCTTCCAAAAAAACATAGATTTTTCATCTTCACAGGCCAAAATTCAATTCAAAGCCCAGACTATACAAGACATGTGTGCCTTATTGTATAGTTACATTCAGAGACAATCAAATTAAATGATTAATGTAGTAACTTGAAATGGGGAGATTTACCTGTACATGTAAACTTATTATTGGTGACTGTTAGAGCATGGAAAAATAAGGAACACTTCAACAGTATTTATTAAGCACCTACTATATGCAAGGCACTGTGACACAGAGCATGTAAAGGCAACCGAAAATGCCAGGATTTAAAAGAAACCCCTTAAGTACTATGTTCTTCAGTTACCTCATAGATGTCAACAAGCTTATCACGGTGCCTCGCACATAGTAGGTATTTAATAAATGCTTGTTGGCTCATGCAATATCAGATAAAGCAAAGCAGCATAGGCTAGTGGAAGGAAGTCTCACCTAAAAGTCAGGAGACATAGGTTCTAGTGCCAGCTCTGCATTACCTCGATGGATAATCTTGTCTTCTCTAGGTCAATTTCTTCATAACTATACAATGAGGAGATTAGACTAAATTCTCTCCTTCCCAATGCTGATTCTTAAAGTTGTTAATGGCTTAATTTATTGGTGAGCTTTTATTTCTTCATCTGTAGCTGGTTTTACTGTTTATTTTTGCTGTGTTTCCATTCCATTCAGAATTTCTGGGAATAATGGACAAAATTATTTCATTGGATCTTTTTTTCATGTCTTTTTTTTAATTATTAATTTTAGGTGAAAAGTGTGATTCTAGTTGTCCCAATGGAAGCTGTTGGGGTCCTGGACCACAAAATTGCCAGAGTTGTAAGTATATGGATTTTTTCTGTTTATATATGCACTCAGTTTCTTCAAATGATTGGGCAATAACCTGAAAATCTACCAGTGGGATAATAATATCTTCACTGCCTTCCCCTGGGTGGCTGTTGCAATGCCCAGATAAGATAATCCATGTAAAGCACTTTGTAAAAACTTAAAACATTACATTAACTGTGTACTATCATTTTAATTATTTCTTCCATTGGACTCAGGATCATATAAGATTTTTTTTTTCTGATAATGGTCCAAAGCCTGGGGAGCTCACCTGATTTGATTACAGGAAACACTAGGCCTGGTAGCGAGCTTTTTATAACTGAAACTCAATTAAGGGAACAAGGGACTGGCCTAGTCTATTAGAGTTGATAGTGACTGAAGTCCTACACTGACCAAATCAAATTTGGAAGAGTACTTTTTGAATGAATCTTAATTTATCTGGGTACTTTGGATGTTTTGCTGACATTTGATCTCGCCTGATTGTTCTTCCTTCTGGGTCTTGAAGGCTAGATCTAATATTGCCATCTCATTTTGAGAACATAAACAGGCCTCCTTGCCTCTGGACCTGGCTGTTTAGTACCAGATGAAAATTAAACTTTGGCTTTCATATGACCCTGAACTTGCTTCTGAAATACCATACAACTTCACACCTCTTCTCTGAACCCATCTATTACCGTACTGTTCCCCTTACCTATGAAAAATCTCTGGTATCAGCACTGAACAAGGTCAGTGAAAAAGGTATAATAATCACAAAGATTATTCTAGTCAATGTTTGTAATGGAAAATGCCTATGAAGTTCCTGTATACTGTAAATACAAGGGAGGCCATGTTTGATAATTGAAACCCAAACAGAAGCCATCCTATTCAGAACAGTGAACCCAACAGGGTGTTCTAAGGAAGAAAGCATTAGCATCTTCACAAAATTATCCAGGCAAGATCAGTTTAGAGTAGAAACTCATGTGGAACTGATGAGGTTGTCAAAAAATGACAAGTAGTATTGCTTTACCAAAAACCCTCAAACAAGAAGTTCTTTAAAAAAGCCTTAGAGCAATGACTGACATATCCTCTTCTACCTTCAAGGGACACAGCCGCACCTCTCTTTATCCCCTCTCAGCTCCATAGCATTGGAAACTCCTTACGCAATTGGCAAAGTAAACTCCTTATTGCATGTGACGACAACCTACCCTTATCAGGTGTGAGGTCTGGCTCTAGAACCTACCCACCTGGAAAAGGACTCACCAAAACTTGAAAAACTTCCATCTTAATAAATATCCAATTCACCTTTGATGAACCTGATCCACCTGGAAAATAACCGCCAAAAATCTTTAAGGAGAAAAAAAACATTTTAATGAACATCTGGTTCACCTGTGACCTTTGCTCTTTTTCAGTGACAAAGACCATCTGTGCCCAGCAGTGCTCAGGACGGTGTCGCGGTAGTTCCCCTAGTGACTGTTGCCACAACCAGTGTGCAGCAGGTTGTACTGGACCTCGAGAGAGTGACTGCTTGGTAAGAGGAAACCATTGTGCAGCCTTCAGGGAGTCCCAATTCCTGCAGTGTCTTATAATAATGAATATAGAACCTTCAGATTTGCAAAGCACTTTACATATGTTATCTCATGTGATTCTCAGAGAATCCTGGTGAGATAGGAGCCATTAGTAACCTCATCTTACAGATGAGAAAACAGTTAGACTGAGATGAAATGATCTGCCCAGGGTTACACAGCAAAGTAGTAAGTGTCTGAAGCCAGATGTGAACTGCCTAACTTCAAGTCCAGTATTGTACCCACTTGCTATCTCTACTCATTTTATTTTGAGATTGAACCCTCAGAGACAGTTCCCTGAGAAGGCATGGGATGGGGAAAGTACTTTTACTTCATGGAGAATCAGATGACTTTGTGTGATAGTGACATCACAGTTTGCCACAGAGAGCTCTCAAAATTACTTTCTGTTTTTCACTGTGGTGGCATCTGCAAGAAAGCCTCAGTAGGCTGCTTCAAAACCTCCTCAAATTCATTTTGCTTGACTAAAAGGATCCTAGACGGGCCACACACCCAGACCTAGGGCCCCTTTGGAACTGCTAGGACCATAGTTATAGGTATGCATCCACAGCCTTCCCTAGGGAGTTAGGGATGTTTGATTCCTTTGATCCAGCGGCCTCCTGGCTGTTCTATAAACAAGACCCACCATCTTTCCACTTTGGGCCTTTTCTTGGGCTGTCCTCCATGCCAAAGTCCTATCCAAAGTCCATCTTCTACAAGAAGCCTTCCCAACCTCTCCTCAGTCCAGTGTCTTCCCTTTGTTAATTATTTCTTATTTATCCGGTATAGGCTCGCTTTGTATATATTTGTTTGCATGTTGTCTCCCTCGTTAGATTATAAGCTCCTGAGGACAGGGATTGTCTTTTGCCTCTTTTTCTATCCCTAGTGCTTAGCACAGTGCCTGGCACATAGTAGGCACTTAATAAAATTTTTATTGATTGAAGTCTTTCTAAATGTCATCATAAAATAATTTTAACTCATATTGGAAAGGAATATTTCAGGAAACATTTTGTTCCCTGAGGAATACGACCCGCTTGTAAGGCACATTGTAGCTGGCGTTCCTTTCAGGTATGGGTTGGACTAGATGACCTTTGAACTCGCCATTCCTGTGATTCACTCTATTCACTCCAGGCTCCATTATATTTTTCTGAGCTAGACTGTTTCCCACAGAGAAAGGTCTATTGGATTTCAAAAATGTGTCCTTACATAGGGCCTGGGGGAAATCAAGTGTGCTTGATTCTGAAAAGAAGGGGACTTAGGACAGCTCATGAGCTTCATAATGATTCTAAGTTTTGGTTGAAAAGTTATCAGGCACGTCTTCCTCTAAGCATTGTAATGCATACATTCCTCTGAACAGGCCAGGTACAATAACGAAAGCAAAGAGAAAGGAATGTTGTGACTCATTTTTAAGTGACTGATCTAGTTATCTTTCACTGAAATAAAGCATCTTCATACTATGTGACACTCAGTTCCAATTAGAGTGGTTTGACCTGCTTGGAAGTGTGTGCCTAATCTCTTTTCATTGGTATTCCATCTTGCAACAGGTCTGTCGAAAGTTTCGAGATGAAGCCACATGCAAAGACACCTGCCCCCCTCTGATGCTGTACAACCCCACCACGTACCAGATGGATGTCAACCCAGAAGGCAAATACAGCTTTGGAGCCACCTGCGTACGAAAGTGCCCACGTGAGTTCACCACAGCCCCTACTGCAAAGGTTGTCATTTAACTTCTAGGATTTCCCCACTGAGATTTCATGATTTAGGAACCCTTATAATGGCCCTTTTAATTTATTCCATGCACTTTTGAGGGAGATGGATCAATGCCATTCCTCTGGTGTTCATGAAGGATGTAGTTGCCATCATGCAGCTGCCAAGCAGAGAACTAAGGCATAATGTCCTGGTACCTCTCCTTGAAGGGAAAGGGATTTAGATAGGAAGCCCCAGGTCCTAGACCTGCTTACAGGTGAGTAGCATTCTATGCTGAAGGGTCATTATCTTAGTTTTTCTCATGCGTAGGGTGGCTGCATTCTATTCCTTAGGAAGATCTATTTTTGCCAGACTCTTTTACTTTGACGTCCAGCTGTCACCTGCAAAGGGCAAGTAGTCTCATTGTCAGTGGTCTATAGTCATTCAAACTCCCTCAGTGTTTCACTGAGGGCATTAAATTAGAGAATTTATAGACAGAGACCTATCTTATACATTGGTATCTTTCAATTCTAAAAGCATTCCCCTCTCCTTCTCACTTTTTCAGGTACTGGGATTTCCAATCCCCTGAGAAGGAAGGGAAGGAGAGATGTTAAGGGGAAAGTGGTTTTTCATTAAACGCCTTTCAATTTCAGTTAAAACAAAAATAGTGTCTGAGTGTTAGATAAGTATACTTGGAATAGGAGGTGAGACAGATAGCACCATAAACTCATTGATGGCTTAAGTCTCCATTCCCTGCCTACATTAGTTGGTAACACTGAACTTTACATAAAATTACAATTAGACCCAGATGGGATGTTAGAGGAATCCAGTCCACTCTTACACATTCTATAGATCAGACCTGTAAAAGCCAAGGCCATGAGAATAATGATGATGATGATTCTCCCCCAGCGTCTATCACAGTGTTTTAAAACTCATTAGGCTCTTATCATTGAATGAATGAATATATGAATAAATAACTAAGGTCAAGAGAGGCAAATTGAGTTGTCCAGTGTCACATAGTAATTTAGTAGTGGACAATGGCCCATCATTTTTTAGAAAGTAGAATAGGGAAGGAAGATTAGTTATGCATGGTTTTTTCAGTCTTTTAGTCTCCAGCCTTCAATCCTGTATATAAGACACTATCTTCAGTAGATTAGAGGGATACAAAAGGAAGAGAAGATATTTCCCCTCCACGTCTCCTGAAAAATTATTGATTAACATCTAAGAGCTTATAACGTAGAGGGGAACATAATATAAGCAGATTTGGTGAATTAAGACCTCTTTAAAACAATTTATTTTGTAAAATGTCAGTTAACAGAGTACAAAAGAATCTCCATGTTGAGTTAAGGCTGAATAAAAATAATAAAAAAGGGCAAGGAATTGACCTAAGAGCACTTAAGATGCCAAATGAGAAATTTGGTCCTAATGAACATAATGACAACTAATATTTAAAGGGCACCTTAAAGTTTGCAAAGCACTTCCATTTCTTAGTTCAAGTCCCACAACAATCCTGTGAGATATGTGTTCCAAGTATAATTACCTTCATCCTGCAAATGAAGAAATTAAGATGCAAAAGACTGATGTGACTTGTCTAGGGCCACACAGTGAATAAGTAGAATTTGAACCCCAAGCTGCCAGATTCCAAACCCAGCACTCTATCTCTTATGTCAACATGGATACCAAGGGGGAAGTCACCCAAAGACCATGAAGAAGTGCTAGACGGAGAAAGGATCTTGTCACAAATTTATGTGGTTAAAAACAAATTTGAAAATACATAATAGCTCAAATTTGAGAGGATTTAAAGAAATAGCTAATTTCAAAGAATTTAAATTTAGGTATTTTTATGACTATGGGTATTCTGAAGATAAAAAACAATGTAAATACTATTTAAATAATTTGATGTAACATATTTAAATGATAAACATTTTAAATAATTAAAAGTATTGGGAATTGCTAGCATACACTTCCTCCAGCAACTATTTACCTATAATTTTCTATTTAGCTCTTTTGTTTTCATTACTTCTGGTGAAACAACTGCATATGTGGTTTATTTTCTTTTTTTGTTTGTTTTTTGTTTTTTGTTTTTTAGATAATTGGGGTTAAGTGACTTGCCCAGGGTCACACAGCTAGTAAGTGTCAAGTGTTTGGTCTGAGGCCGGATTTGAATTCAGGTCCTCCTGACTTCAGGGCCAGTGCTCTATCCACTGCGCCACCTAGCTGCCCCATATGTGGTTTGTTTTCAATATAGTTTTATGTACAAAGTAAATAACAAGGGGAAAGCATTGTGTCCATTCTGCAACCTGGATACTGAGGAACTGAACTCATTCCAGAAACAACTAGCTCTGCTCCATGATCCTTTTTTCTTTCCCTCTTCCTTAGATAACTATGTGGTGACAGACCATGGTTCTTGTGTTCGTTCTTGTAATGCTGAGACCTATGAAGTGGAGGAAGATGGCGTCCGAAAATGTAAAAAGTGTGAAGGTCCATGTAGTAAAGGTAAGAAAGCTACAGGAGGTGAGAAAGGGTGATTTTTGTTATTCTTGATCTTTACTTCCTAGGTCAGCTGGGGGTCTCCCCAGGTTTCTTTGAGACAATACTTTTCATCATTTCTTAAGGCACCATTATATTCATATACAAAGATTTTTTGACTATTTTCAGTGCAATTCAACAAGCATTTATTAAGTGCCTCTTCTGTGCCTTGGGAATACAAACTCAACATTGGATATCACTAACCTTATTAGTATAGCAAGCCTCGTGCCAAAAGTCATATGTTTGAACTTCATATGATGCAAAATAGAATTCATTTGGGAGCATTAAAACAAAAGCAGAGAATAGCCTGAGATAAATGTTTGGAGATAAGTCTGGAAGTGTGGGAGCAAGAAGAGCCCCAGAAACTGAGGGATGAATGTTATTAAAGAATTGGGGAAAAGAACCTCACTCTGCAAATCTGGAGTCTTCAGGAAACCTCTGGGCACATGCCCCCCTGGGGGAAAAGCCTAAGAACTTGGAAATAAGACCTGATCTAAGTGAGTAAGGAAAGAATTAATCTGCTTGAAGACAGAACAGTTCTCAATCATTTTCTCTCGGAAGGAAAAACAAAATGAAAGACGGCCTTTTCCCTTAATTTTGAATAAGCCCAAGGCAGAGCCAATATGGTGAAGAAAAGCCAGAAAGTTGCCTGAGCTTTCCCCAGTTTCCCTAGGAAAAAACTTTAAATCAAGACTTTAAATGGATTCTGGAGTGGCAGAACCTACACAAAGATTGCATGAAACAATTTTCTAGCTCAAGATAACTTGGAAAAGTCTGTCTTACTTGGGTAGAAGGTGAGAGCAGCCCGGCACAATGAGCCACATCACAGATCAGCAATGGAAGCCCCTTGGTCCTAGCTCAGCAGGCCAGCTGTGAGGCCTCCAGCCCCAGCACAGAAGGCAAATTGCCAGTCCTGGAACTCCAGCACAACAAACTTGACTAGACTGGGCCACCATAGTACAGTGGGCAAGCTGCCAGCACCTGAGGCCGCAGCACAGAAAGCCAGTGACTAGGTCCCTGAGCCCCAGCATAAGAAGCTAGGGACGGTGCCCCCTGTGCTCCAGCAGGACAGCTCAACTTCAAAAGCCATGAAATAGGCTTTAAAATGAACACAAAAAAAATAGAAAAGAGCCCTGACCATAGAAAACTACTTTGGTGACAGGGAAAATCAAAACTCAAACTCAGAAGGGGACAACAATGTCAAAATACCTACAAGTGAAACCTCAAAGAGGAATATGAATTGGTCTCAAGCCCAAGAAGCCTTCTTGGAAGAGCTCAAAAAGGATTTTAAAAATCAGAGATAGAAGAAAAAGTGGGGGACAAAAATGAGAGATAAGCAAGAGAGAGTCAACAGCTTGGAAAAGGAAGGACAAAAATTGATTGAAGAAAACAATTCCTTAAAAAATACAATTGGCCAAATGGGGGGAAAATCCACTGAAAAAAAAACAACTCATTAAAAAGTAGAATTAGCCAAATGAAAAAGGAGATACAAAAGCTAACTGAAGAAAATAATTCCTTAAAAATTAGAATTGGGCAAGTGCAAGCTAATGACTTTATGAGACATCAAGGATCAGTCAAAAAAATGTCAAAGGATCAGTCAAAAAAAATGGAAGAAAATGTAAAATACTTCATGACCTGGAAAAATAGATCCAGGAGAGATAATTTAAGAATTATTGGACTATTTGAAAGCCATGATCAAAAAAGAGACTGGATAGCATCTTTCAAGAAATTATCAAAGAAAACTGCCCTGATATTTTAGAACCAGAGGGTAAAAGAGTAATTGAAAGAATCCACTGATGACCTCCTGAAAGAGATCCCAAAATGAAAACTCCAAGGCATATTGTAGGCAAATTCCAGAATTATCAGGTCAAGGAGAAAATACTGCAAGCAGCCAGAGAGAATTCAAATATCAAGGAGCCACAGTCAGGATTACACAGAACTTAGCAGCTTCTACATTAAAGAATCAGAGGGCTTGGAATATGATATTCTAGAAGGCAAAGGAACTTGGATAACAACCAAGAATCAATTACCTAGCAAAATTGAACATAATTTTTCCAGGGGAAAAGATACATATTCAATGAAATATAGGACTTTCAATCATTCCCAATGAAAAGACCAGAGTTGAAAAGAAAATTCAATCTTCAAATACAAGACTCAAGAGAAGCATAAAAAAGGTAAACAGGAAAGAAAAGGAAAAAAAAAAACCACTTGTTATTCAACAAGGTTAAACTGTTTACATCCCTACATGGAAAGATGATACTTGTAACTCTTGAGAACTGTATCTCTATTAGGGCAGTTAGAAGGAATATACGTAGACAGAAGGTGTGAGTATAAGTTGATTTTGATGTGATGATATAAAAAAATTAAGGAGTGAAAAAAAAGGATTGCACCAGGTAAAGAGGAAAGGGGGAGGCAAAATAGGGTAAATTACATCATATGAAGAGGTGCAAAAGACCTATTACAGTAGAGGGAAAGAAGGGAGGGGGGTGAGTATTGTTTGGGATAAGAACTCACTATTTAACAAAAACTGCTAGAAAACTGGAACATAGTATGGCAGAAACTAGGCATAAATCAACCTCTCACACTGTATACCAAGATTTGGTCAAAATGGATACATAATTAGACATAAAGGGTGATGCCATAAGCAAATTAAGAGAACAGGGAATAGTTTACCTGTCAGATCTACAGAGAAGGAAAGAATTTATGACCAAACAAGAGATAGAGAACATTATGAAATGCAAAATGGATAATTTTGATTACATTAAATTAAAAAGGTTTTGTACAAACAAAACCAATGCAACCAAGATCAGAAGGGAAACAGAAAGCTGGGAAACAATTTTTACAGCCAGTGTTTCTGATAAAGTCCTCATTTCTAAAATGTATACAGAACTGAGTCAAATGTATAAGAATACAAGTCATTCCCCAACTGATAAGTTGTTAATGGATATGAATAGCAGTTTTCAGATCAAGAAATTAAAGCAATCTGTAGTCATATGAAAAAATTCCCTAAATCACTATTGATTAGAGAAATGCAAATTAAAACAACTCTGAGGTACCACTTAACACTTATCAGATTGTCTAATATGACAGAAAAGGAAAATGACAAATGTTAGAGAAGATGTGAGAAAATTGGAACACTAATGCATTGTTGGTGGAATTGTAAACTGATCCAACTATTCTGGAGAGCAGTTTGAGACTATGCCCTACAGGCTGGCTATAAAACTGTGCATACTCTTTGATCCAGCAATACCACTACTAGGTCTAAATCCCAAAGAGAACATAAAAAAGGGAAAAGGGCCCACATGTACAAAAATATTTACAGCAGCTCTTTCATGGTGGCAAAGAACTCGAAATTGAGGGGATGCCCATCAGTTGGGGAATGGCTGAAAAAGCTGTGGTATATGAATGTAATGGAATACTATTGTACTATAAGAAATGATGAGTAAGTGGATTTCAGAAAAACCAGGAAAGACTTACATGAACTGATGATGAGTGAAGTGAGCAGAACCAGAACATTCTACACAGCAACAGCAACAATGTTCGATGATCAACTATGATAGACTTAGTTCTCAGCAATACAATGATTCAAGGAAATTCCAAAAGACTCATGATAGAAAATGCTATCTACATCCAGAGAAAGAACTATGGAGTCTGAATGCAGATAGAAGCATATTATTATCACTTTTTTCTTTGTTTTTTTTCTTTCTTTTGCCTTTTGTTCTAATTCTTTTTTCACAACATGACTAATGTGGAAATATGTTTAAATAATTATACATATATAACCTATATCAGATTCTTTGCTGTCTTGGGGAAGGGGGGAGGGAGGGAGAAAAATTTGGAACTCAAAATCTTATAAAAGTGAATATTGAAAATTATCTTTACATGTAATTGGGGAAAACAATACTATTAAGTTAGGGGCGGGATTTGAATGAGCCTTTCATCTTCCATTATATCACAATGCTCTATTTCCACTCAATGCTCCTTCTGCATCCTAGGATGCTATCTCAAGGCCATGAGAAGAAATGCAGGGCCATCTGGCATGTGGCAGGCTATGGGAGAAAATGTTGGATTAAAGATGCAGAAGATCTGGGAAACAGATGTTTCCCACAGGAGGGTCCCAAGGTTTTCTTTCCCCAAATTATCTAACAGAAGGGGTGTGTGTGTGTGTAAATTAACAAAAAAAATTGTGATTCTGTCAACCTTGGTGATTTTTGTCTATTCTCAATATGAAAATTCCTTCCAATAAGACATTGCAACCTACCTGTATAAGTCAGCTAAGTATTACAGTAGTTAGAATATTAGACTCAAAGTCAAGAAGACCTGCTTCAAATACTTAATAGCTGTGTTACCCTGGGCGAGTCATTTAATCCCTAGCAGCCTCAATTTCCTCATCTGTCATCCTGAACCCTTCAAGGAGGTTTGACTTGATTGCTTCCAAGGTGCCTATGACTCCATGATTATCAAAGACAGTCGCCAGGGACACTTATTTGGTACTGTGCACACCATGGAGTCCATGGACCCCAAAGCATCTGTGAATAGATTTTAGGGGATCCATGACTTTTTAAGAAATATTTTGGCAACTATTTCAATACACCTTTTTTTTAAGTAATCTGGTGTATTTATTTTATGAATTTAAAAACATCATTCTAAGACAAAGTCTATAGATGTTACCAAACTACTAAAGGGGTCCAGGACACAAACCCTTACTACACTAAGGCAGATCTGGACAGACTTTATGTTGTGTCTGTCTCTGTCTCTTTCTCTTACATTAACATATGTGTGTATATATACATGAACATGTATGTATACATAGAAATATATGGATTTGTGTGTATTCATGAGCATGCATGTCACATTCCTTCCTCTACATCTTACTTTCCGCCTCCTCCCTCCTTCATTTCTTTCTTTTTCTTCCTTTCCTCCCTTCTTGCCTCCCCTTTTTCTTCCTTTCTCTCCCTTTCTTTTTTCTTTTCCTTTCTTTCTTCCTTCCTTCCATCCCTAGTGCCTGATAATGGTATTTTGTGATGCTATTAATAATTGCTTATTAATAAACGCAAGAAAGGGCCATTGCTGTAAAAGTGTGTAATAACTAGCTGCTGTTACTGAAACAAGGAGGAGACCTTAAAAGAAGTCCATAATCCTAAACACTTCCTTGGACTGGCAGCTATCCTAGAATTAATGTCTTCATTTTACAAAGGAGGAAACTGAGACCCACCCAGGGAGGTGAAACAAATAGTCCCACATCACATTGGTGTCTAGAATGTTAATCTAATGCTCTTTTCTCACTGGCTGTGATGGGAGAAGGAGAGGGTGACCAAAAAAAAAAAAAGGAAAAAAAATGAGTTTAGTGAGATGTTCAGCTGCCATACTCATCCTGTTTTACCTGCTTGGAAGAGCCAGGGTTAGTGGTTGGCAGACGAATTTTGCAACATTGAAACGAAGATTGTTGAATTGAATCTCTCTTGTATGGCCCAATGATGGATTTTTCTCCCTATCTGAATGGGATTTAAATGGTAATGATCAGTAATCCACTGATTGCAAAATATGACAACTGTATGGCAAGCCAAAGGCAATGAGGAAGACATTTTGAAGTTTATCTGGAAAGTTGTTCATTCTAGAAAGCTGGATTGAATAATCTTCTCTGCTCTTCTTATAGTTTGCAATGGAATAGGAATTGGTGAATTTAAAGATGTTCTCTCCATCAATGCGACAAACATCAAACAATTTCAGAATTGTACCACCATCAGCGGCGATCTACATATATTGCCTGTTGCATTTAAAGGGTAAGAAGTTTGTGAAGAGGAAATGCACAAAGTGTGCTGCTTTTCTTGGGTCTGTGATCACTGGATGATAAGTTTCTATGTTTATTTCAGTGACTCCTTCACCCGTACTCCACCTTTAGATCCCAAAGAACTGAATATTCTCAGGACCGTGAAGGAAATATCAGGTTTGTACAAAACCCCAATCAGCCACAGAGTGTTAGAGCTAGATTAAAGCTTAGAGGTCATCTAATACAAAATCTTTTATTCTATAGAAGAGAAACAGACCCAGAGTAGTAAAGTGACCTTTCCCAAGGTTACATGGTTAGTCAGTGAAAGGGCTATGACTAGAAATCAGATTTTCTTCCACCCTTATGGCATGGGTTTCAATAGCTAAATATATATTTATATACATGTACATGACCAGTGGTATAATCTGAGGTACACTATAAAGGAACCCAACCCTCAAACAATATTCAATTGAAATTTCATCATTTAAAATTAAATTCTTCAAGTTAAAAATGTAGTGATTCATATGCTTGCCCCTACTTTAGATAGGCCATAGGCCTCTGCCTCATCCCAGTAGCCCTATTTCTATTTTGCTTAAGGGAAATAGGATTACATTCAGAATGGTCCTATAATTAGATTCCAAAAGGGTAAATTATCAGTTTTTCCAACATTTTTGACCCTTTTCCGTATTTTCCAAAGTCAGATTGAACACATCATTGTCTGTCCTCCTTAAAGGAATGAAGTTACAACATCAAGGGGAAGAGAAGAATGATAATTTTCAAACATTATGGTGAGAGGATATACCTTGATGGGCAAAGCAAACAAGACCATCTCAGAGGCTGGACAGGGGTCCACAGAAAAGACATTGGACAGATTTTGTCTATGTTGCAATTTTCCACAGGCCCAGCCCTGTACATATAGAGGGAGAAGGAAAGGGCCTAAACCGCCATTTTGGCATTTAGTCCTCAAGTTCAGATTTCAGGGCAGAACCAGATAAATGTGTATATAAGTATATAAATAAACTTTTAACTGGTGTATTTCTAAGGAAATTACATGATGTATAAAGCACTTTCCATTTTGTTGATTTAAATTTTTCCCTCTCTTCTTTTTAGTCAAATTGACTCAAGGCTTATTGATTTCATTAGTCTTTTCAAATAACAAGCTTTTAGTTTACATTTCATTTCTGTAATTTTTTTTTTTTTTTGGTTTCCAGTTTGTCAATTTTTCCTCTAATTTTTAAATATATTCTCTTTTAGGTTTATTTGGCTTTCTAATTTTTAAATGCATTTTCATTTCATCATCTCTTTTTTTATTTCATTAATGCATGTTTGTAGGAATAATTTTTCCCCCTTGGGGACTGCTTTAGCTAACTCTAAATCTATGATTCTATGAAACATATCGACTTTCAGGATTTTTGCTGATTCAGGCTTGGCCTGAAAACATGACTGACCTCCATGCTTTTGAACATCTGGAAATTATACGAGGCAGAACAAAGCAACAGTAAGTAGCTGGCAATTCTAACCATAGTTATGCAGTCAATGAGAGATAGAACTAAACCTTATCCATTCCAGAGGCCAGCTTTTTAGGGGTTCAACAAGGAGAGGGCTGTGGAAATTAGCCTGATAATTCAGGTAAAACCGGGTATTTGGTATTTACTTGAATTATCCAGGAAACTCTCATTTGCTTTGGGAGTGAGATCTGAGCAGTTTATAATATAGCATATTTCTGGCTTTGCCAACTTTCAGCTGTAATGACTAAATAGAAATTATTAAATAATCAATATAACCAGTATGGAGGAATGTGGGGAAAGGGCTTACAAATGGCTTTGCTAAGTATATTCACCCTATTAGAGCTGTTTTACATGACTGACCTCCATGACTTCTAATTGTATTCTATATCACTGTGTAATAATCAAGTACATTCAAGTCTGGTAAAAGCCATCTCTTTCAGATTACAAAATAGTCATACCTCTTGGTACTCAAATATAGTTAGTCTGGATCTCCAAAATGCTCCTTTTTGGCCGGTTATTCAATTTAATTAATGTAGTAAGCATTTATAAAGCATCTACTATGTTCAAGATATTGTGATAAGCACTGGAGATACAGAAATAAAAATAAGAAATGCCTTGCCCCTAAGGTAAGGAACAGACATTCTATTCAGGCCACACAAAAGAACCAGATAAGCAAATAGAAAATATATGCAAAGAAAATACAAAGTAATTTCTGGTGGGTGGAGAGAACACTAATAACTGGAGGGATTGGGAAAGGTCATCAGTGGTGGGTGGCTGAGCTAAGCCTGGAAGGCACAGGATGATTTAGGTAAAGGCATACAATTCTTACCCGGTTTACATTCATGTAGCTTCAAAGCATCATCACACGCTATAGGACCCTTGGTATATTCCTTCGGAACAATAGATCATCTCATATCCGAGCTCCTTGCCAGTACCACTTCCCAGAGGCCTTGGGCCAGGCTGCGCTTGAAATCTTCACATGGTGACTGGAGATGGGGCAAACTCAGGACAACCAATTTACAGGGTGCACGCTGCGATGAGTCACTAATTTGGACTGCCCTACCTTTGGGGAACCAGTTTCTGTTCTCCAATACCAGATAACTCTGGAGCACCTCACCTGCTTGTGCTTGAGCTATGGGCTCCTAATCTCCAAGGAACAAAGTGCTTTGCTGCTTGCCAAACTATTCCATACTTTGCATTCAGTGATTTCAAATGGCACATCCAATAACTTTGTATATGTTTATATCCTGGGTGCCTAGCACAGTGATTGGCATATCAGAGGCATTTAATAAATGGTTATCGAATGAATTGAATGAATGAATGGGGTAGGAGGAAAAGATAATAGGGTTACTTTTTTTAAAAAGCTGCAAAGATTGTGGTTCATCTATGGATTTGCTGAATAGCCTTCTCTGCTGTGCTGATATTAGAATCCACAGAGGGAAGGCTAGATGCCAGGAGACAACTTTTAACCAAAATGGTGTGACTGGTGGGATTGTACTGATACAGAAAAAAATTTGCTCATGAGAAAAGCAGAATATTCATCCTTTCCCAGGGTGGAAGATGGGTAGGAGCTGCTGACATCAGCAGTCAGGGTGGCCAAGTAGTGATTTTTCAGTCCTAGAATGTTATAGTTTCGCTGCTCCTTCTTAGACCTCCAGGAGAGTGGCATTTGAGAGAGCTCTTCAAGCCATCCATAGTGCACTTGGGAGATGGGAGCATTCCCAGAAAGGACACTGTAAGCTCCCTTCTTGAACCTGTGCTGTTTGGCCTAATCCTTGGCACAATTCCCTTTTCTCACTCATGGGAAGAACGCCTTCTACCATCTACCCAACAATGCTTATCTGGACTTTTCTTGAAGACCTCCATGGGAGACTCTCCAGAGGCTGTAATCAAGTTGATTTGTTGATTGTAATTTGGTTGATGCCTTCCTCACAAATTTCCTATGCTTTGGGTGGGAAGGAGGGGATCACTTACCACTCTGGGTTTGGCATTGTGATTTGCTTTCTCCTCTGCTTTCCTAAAAATATGTTTTGGTTTTTCAGTTGAAGAAAACCAAAGTTCATTTTGGATTCAGGATTTTTTTTTTAATTTTTAGGTAATTGGGGTTAAGTGACTTACCCAGGATCACACAGCTAGTAATGGATTCAAGATTTTTGAGAGTTCTTTGTTACCCCTTGAGTTGATTGGGACTTACCTTAGATCAGGGATTCTTAACTTTTTTTGTGTTATGGGCCGCTTTGGTAATGTAATGAGGCCTGGGGTCCCCTTTTCTGGATTCCTACAGTCATAATTGAAAAACCCGCTAAATTTCAAGTTTAGTTTAGTGAAAAAAGAAAAAAAAAATCCCATTTAAGTTCAGGGACCCTCTGAAATCTATCCATGGCCACCAGGTTAAAAACCCCTACCTTAGAATATCTCAAAAGTAGATTTACTACTTATACTTCTGAGCACATCATTTCTGTTTTCTGATACTCAATATCTTCTATAAAATAATGAGAGTAGTTTCTAATGTGCCATCTAACTATAGAAGAATATCATTATCTATTACTCTTTCTAATCGATGACCCACCATTGAAAATAAAATAAAAATAAATCTCAATAATGAAATTACTCTCCCACAATCATGATCAGACCCTCCAGTGAATGGTCCAATCCGTATAAGAAGGCAATTTTCTTCAAAGAGACCATTAGTTTTTATAGAGAATTATTTACTCTACCAGAAATTTTCTATAATCAATTTCTACTTTTTATAACCCTAAGAAATAGCAGAGTAGGCAATCACCTAATTAGCTCCCCTTGAGAGGACTATGGGCAGCAACTCCTTTACAAAGTTACCAACTCTCCCATACGTCATTCCGCCATTATCTCTCCGTTCCTTTAAGATTTTTCAGGAAGATTCTAACTCTCCTGGGTGGGGTCACCAATCAAGCCCTTATCAACTGAGACTTTAGTAATGAATGAACTATTTTGCAATTATGGACAAGAATTACACTCAGGATCAGTAACTGGGTCTTGGGAGAGGATATCACAGGAAGGGGAAAAGATGTGAGAGCTCACTTAAGAGAAGCTTCACCTACAGTCAGAATCCACTGACATGTAGCCAGCCCAATCACTAACCCCCAGGTAGAGCTAACCTGTGGTTCTTATTTAGATTTACAAAAGATCAGAAAATTCTGACTTTCTTAGACAAAGCTAACAGTGCCTTTCAAAGCTGTTCTAGAAAATGCCAGTTTCCTACAGTCTCCAAAAGCCACAATGCTTGCCTCCCAACAATCTAGTTCTCACTGCAGTGCGTGTAAATCTGGGGGTACAGAGGAGAAGAACAGGGTCTCCTTAAAAACCAAGATGGTTCTCAATAATGCTATGTTTTTTTCCCCAGAATTTCCTTTTCTTATAACTGATTTATAATTATATGTCACAATGTTGTTTTTTCTCTCCCCATTTCAGCGGTCAGTTTTCTCTTGCTGTTGTTGGCGTGGACATAACTTCCTTGGGCTTACGCTCCCTCAAGGAAATCAGTGATGGTGATGTCATCATCTCAAAAAACAGACAACTCTGCTATGCAAACACAATAAACTGGAACAGACTGTTTGGAACAAGAAGTCAGAAAAGCAAAATCACAAGCAACAAAGATGAAAAAGAGTGCCGTAAGTGACCACCCCCTGCTCTGTCTACTTTTAGGGCAAAGTCTTTGGCAATTACAGTTGTCCCAACTGCAGTGGTCTGCCTTGGTGGGTTTCAAGAGGAGGCTGAATGACTGCTAGTCAAGGCAACTCTTGTTCAGATACAGAGGTAACTCGATGGCTTCTAAGGCTGTCCTTTGGAACTCTGAGATTCTATAATATAGAGATGATTAATTGGCTATGACTCAATCAAAACTATTGTTCTTACTTAGATGCCTAAATCATCCTTCAGGCTTTAAGCCAGAATGAAGCAAACTAGGGAATCCCTGGTCCTAGCTTATCCATCCATTTATGTGATACAGATTAGAACTGTTTTAATCATTCTTACCCTAACTGAGTTTATCTAATGATGAGTCTTCAGAGTGATGAAAATAATCAAAATGCAAATTAAAGATGTGAAGTCATTTCTACACACCAGTCTACTTTCCAATTTAAAATACTTCCATTATTGTTATTGTTGTTCTGACTTTAGTTATAAGAAGCAGCTTTTAAGCTTCAGTATCTATAACAGAATAATCCCTGTTTGCCGCCATGATTCCAATAACCCCTGCCCTTTTCTGCTTTCCCAAACAATGTTTTTATATAATAAATAAACTGAGATTCTCAAGTGGAAAATGAGTAGTATTTCACATGACCAGTTTTCAGGAATTTCCTAAGTCCTCATTACACACATGGTACCATATGAGCATACCTATGATATAAGATAAATTATAAATGCAGAAGGTAGAAATTGTAGCCGGGAGACCACAATTTTGATCAAAAGGGGGGTCTTTTAGTAGACTACAAGGTGAAACAAGTTCACAGGGTAATGTCAAAAAGCACATAATCATCCAGCCTCAGCTTTCTAATTACGGGAAACTGACTGCCCTCTGACTAAAACCCTCAATGTGTTCAAAGTCTGCTTGAAGACAGATGTAATGCCCATATTGGTGGAGGTAATAATACTCCTAATACTACTAATAAAAATTATGATGATAATAATGACAACAAAAACAACTAGCATTTCAGATGAGAGAACTGAGTCCGAGGGAGGTTAAGTGACCAGTCCAGGGTCACACAACTGGTCAAAGCGTCTAAGTCAAGATTTGAATTCAGGTCTTCCTAATTCCACATTCAACACTCCAACAACTCCGCCACCTACCTGTCCTATAATATAGTTCTGCCATATTATGTAGCTGTAATAATTCTACCATATTCTGCTGTGGTCAGAGCATGTTTGGGGTATTGTGCTCAGTTCTGGGCAACACAGTTTAGGAAAAGCAGAGACAAGCTATGTTTAAGATTTGGAGGACTATCATTTGGAAATGGGATTGGCTTTGTTCTGCATGATCTCAGTAGCAAGAATGGGTTGCAGAGGGGAATAATTGTGCGTGGCATAAGGAAAAACTACTTCATGGCAATTAAGTGGCCCAGTGGCTAGAGCACTGGGCCTGGAGTCAGGAAGACCTGGGTCCAAATATGGCCTCAAACACTTACTAGGTGTGTGACCCTTATCCTATAAGTGACTCACTTATCCCATTTGCCTCAGTTTCCTCAACTATAAAATACTACTAATTTTGGTACCTATCTCCCAGGGTTGTTGTGAGGACCAGATAAATTAATATTTGTAAAGCACTTAGCACAGTGCCTGGAACATAGTAGACACTATATAAATGCTGTTATTAATAATTAGAATTCTCAAAACATGGACTATGCTGCCTTTGGAGGGAGTAAACTTCCTCACTGAAGGCCTACAAGATGAAACGGAATGTCCACTCACTGGAGACTCTTGGTCAAGTGTTTCAAATCATAGAACAAAAGCTTGAAGAGATCTGAAACCATCTAATACAACCCCCTCATTTTAAGGATTAGGAAACTGAGGCACAAGAAGTTTAAATGAACTTGCTCAAGGTCACATAGGTTATAAATATCAGAGATATGTTGGACTAGATGGACTCTTTCCAACTTTGAGATTCTGTGAAACATTATACAACATAGAAACTAGAGGATTCATGTCCTAAAGTAGCTGGGGTACTTGAGCCACTCCCCTGAAACTTACTTTGTCTTCTTCAGGGGCTCTGGGCCATGTTTGTCATGAATTGTGCTCACCTGATGGTTGCTGGGGTCCAAAGCCAAGCCACTGCCTGTCCTGTCGCTATGTGAGCCGTCACAAGAAGTGTGTCGAGAAATGCAACATTCTAGAAGGGTAAGAATTTTTTCTTTGGATTTTTCTATTGTGACCAAAAAGGAAAATACTCACGTCATTGGAAAGATTAATATTTAAAAGTTCATAGTTATTTTTTTCTACTTGTTTGCAAAATCTCCTCCAGAGTTCATGGCTTCCCCACAAAATAATGTCTCATTTATGTCCATACCTCAAAGTTTCCAAAGTACTTTCCCCAAAGCAATTCAATGAAATCTGTAGTGCATATACTATATGCTCCTTTTATCTGTACCTGTGCTTTCATCCCTATTCAGGCTACCTCCACTAATGCAGGCACAGTAAGATTAGTGAGGTTAAGTGACATACTTTTTTATTTGGTGACCTACTCCTTTTATTAAAGGGATTTGTTCTGTGAAGTTTGGATTCAGTCAAAGGGCTGCATTGAGGACCTAGAGGGCCCCATGTGGGTTCCTCACCCTGGAACTCATCTCCTGATACAGTCCTCTTTCTACTACACTCTGCTGCCTTGTTTAAAATTTAATAATTTATAACAACAGTAACAAAAATAGGTAGCATTTATATGATATTTTAGGGTTTGCAAAGTGCTTTGCATGTTGTGTCATTTGATACCGACAACCCTGCTCAGAATCACATGATCTGAATTCAAAGGAACCTCATAGGCTACCTAAACCCTAAACCATTCCAGAAAAGAAGCATCTAGTATACATCATTCTTAATCTATATTCATCTACTATGAGCTCAAAGACTTCCAGTTATGGGGAACCCGCTGCCCCCTGGTGCAGCCTATTCTATTTTGGGAGAGCTACAAATGTTACAAATTTAGGAGCCCACATAAGTGTATCCACTTGCACTCTTAATTTCTAAATTATTTCTAAAAATTTCCGAAGAATTTCTAAGAATTGATCAATTTAGCCTCTGGGCATCACCCTCCATGGTGAGATGAATTTAGTCCCAATAATTGAAGGATTGAGGGTCTTGCCAAGAAGATCTTGTTCTTTTGTTTTTGTTTTTGTTTTGTTTTGTTTTGTTTTGTTTTTTATCACACTATGAAGATGATTCTGGGTAACCTTTGTCTCCATGTGTTAACACAATTTATGCATGTTTGTGTTCATGGTGCCCAGATGACATACTGAATTCTCTGTTCTTTATTACCATTTAGTTTGAAACCCATAGTCTCAGGTATATCCTGTAAAGGTCTATCACACCCTTGGGATTAACCTCAAGGCTCTTAATGATAAAGTTGTTTGTAAATCCTAAACCACCATAGAAATAGAAGGGTCCTGAAAATGACTGTTCTCTTGAGGGTGGCAGGTTTATAGTCATTATAATCCAACCTAAAACAAATCCAAGTAGTTGGGTGGGATCATGTTTCTTCTTTATTTATCCTCTTCCAGTTACTTTGTGTGTTTGTTGCGAAGATCAAATGGGAAGAAGTACGTATGGGAATGCACTCTGTAAAGTGTAAAGTATTATAACAAATGTTGAGAACTATCTTTGATCTCAGCATATTCCCCAATGCCTTCCTTGGCTTAAGAAATCAAAATTAGGAAAGCTTATGTCCCCTGTTTGCTAAATCCTGGGCTTTCCCTGTGCCTTGAGAAACTGACATCCTGTATAGTCCAAATCACATATATTATCATTCTTTTTCATTTCTTCATGCTAAGGCCTGGAAAGTTATTCTTCCTGACTCATGACTCTTCGTTAAATAATTTTACTTGAGATGCAAAAAAAAATGTTCTGCAAATACCACAGGATCATGTTTCCTCACTTAGCCAGTCCTCTGAAGGAGATGTATTCTTCAGGCTTTGGCTTCATTTTTCAGGATGTTCCACTTCCCCCCTAAAGGAGCAGCTCTGCTTTTCATTCATTCCTTCTCAAGGCCTGCTTCCTTCAATCTTCTGGTTTTTGTTTCATCATAAGCTTCTTAAGTGCAATGGCCCACCTCCAAATTTGGATCAATTTGCAAGGCTTGGGGCAGTGGGGTTAACTATCTGTGGGCATTAACTTTCTCGGTATATGTTTAACACCAAAACAATTGCTTAATTTAGTCATCACTATACAGATATTAACTACATAAATTTGGGTTGGGGGAGTTCTGCAAAATAAATGAGTGCATGTGGATTCAAGGAATTTGCTGGGAAATTGTAGTGATGCTATAGCTTAGTGAGTTTGGTATCCAGAAATGTGTGTTGGGTATTTGTCTTTGTGGAGGGTGTTGGGACCTTGGTCTGACAAAGGAGAGAACATGCTTCCCTTCCCCATTGTCCATAAAGTCTTAGGTCTCCATCACAGTTACAAAATGGTTCATTTTAAGGCAAGAGCCTGTGTAAGCTATCTCAGAAAAAGAAAACTTTATGCTACTTATAACTTCCATTTCCAACCCATTGCAATGTTTTGTATCCTTCATTATTTCTCTTCTCTGTTTCAGATCCCTCCTCAATAAAATGAGGGCTTTGGATCAGATCTTCTATTTTTGGCATTGTTATTCTTTGTAATTCTTTTTTTTTTTTAATGTTGATTCTGAACCTCTTATTGCATCCTAAAACCATTTATTACTATTCTACCTTCAACAGAAAAAAATTGTAATCATAGGTTCTAGAGTAGGAAGGAATCTAAGTGATGATCTAGGCCCAACCCTCTCTTCTCAAAGATACGAAAAGTAGTTCATGGGGAACTGAAGTGACTTTTCTGATGTCACACAGCTACTAAATATCACAGCAGGAATGGAGAACATCAGTTATCATCTTTAAAATAATTATGCTTCATCTGTTTGAAGAAAGGCATATTGGTAGAGCAAACAGTGGTCTAGTTTTAAAATCAGGAAGACATGGCATCAATCTTGACTGTCACATATGGTCATATGACCATGAGGGAATTACCTTGCTTTTCTGGATTTCAGGTATTCTCTAAGAGTTGAATTAGTTTCAGTGGAAGGAGTTTCCACAGTGGGAGGTAGGTTACCACCATCCCTCCCTCAAAGAAAAAAAAATTAAGACAAATTATTTTCACCCCAAGATTTTAAATACTGGAGTGGAATATAGAATAAGACTATAGAGTTTCTGTTTCTATATGTTTATATCTATACCTTATTATCTTCAGTCTGGCTTATCTGAATTTCCTTGAAAAGTCAGAATGATTTTGATCTCAGTTATGAAAGTGTTCATAGATAGGGACAGCAAGCATTTGGAGCCAATCAGGACCAAAGCCATGCATGTTTTTTAGATTTAATATACTTTCCCAAAGATGCCACATCATCTCCAAGTGGTATCTATACACATTCTCTTTTTTGGTGCTTCTGCTCTGTGCTTGGAAAACCCTGAGAAAAACAAAAATGCAACTCTGAATTAGAAAAACATTTGACTACGAAGCAACATACCTACAGAATACACTAATACTGTGGGAACCTTGGAATTGACTCAGCATAATGTTTAACAGCTTTTGGATTAATCCAAATGGAAGTCCAAGAGTCAATTTTGAAGTTGAAATGGAGAAAACAGGGGCCAGAGGCATAACTAGAGATAAATAAAGGATGGAGTTCAAGAAGATGGAATTAAATAATGGAGAAGACTTGATATTCCTAAGTAGGAAGAGAAGAAGGTAAAAGCTCCAACCTTCTTCTCCCAAATTTCTTCAGGTCTGGACATAATATAATCAAGTTGATGTCTAATATCTTGACTCACACCCAGGCTGTGGAAGGTAATCAGAGAACAAAGATGAGTTCTCCAATATTCATTGGGCTGGGATTACTACCCTTGCAGAGACAACTGTGCTCAATTAGTACATTGTTAAGTGTTAACATCAAGGAAGGAATGTTTGCACAACCACATTGGCATGTATAAATACTTACAGCTCAATTCTTATTAAGGAAACATAGTGACCAAGACTAATTAAATAACATTTGTGGTATCCTAACTAGAAGCTTTCATATTAGTAGATAGCAACTTACCATTCAGTAGCTGGGGCCTTTGCAAGAAAGTTCCCTTCATCAGGTGCCTACAATAAAAGAAGAGATGAATTTGGGTGTCAAATTATGAGGGGGTTTTGATTTAATGAATACCAGTTGCTTCAAATGAAAGTGCTTCCTTGCAGTCTGAACCATCTGTGCCAAATTTACATGTTTAAGCATTTATTGTGTGCTGCCTAGAGCAAAGACATGGACTTAATCAGCATTCACATTTCACTTTTCTTAACATCTGTCATTACCATTGCATCTTTTGAATTGGACATCAACTTTTTCTTCACCTGGCATTACAACTTATTTGAAAAAAAAAAATTTAAGTAAAACCTTAGGGGTGGGGGGGTAGGAGGAATCTGATTCACATGTGTAGTTTATTAATAATCCTTCACTAATAGAAGGTTAATACACCTCACTTTGCTTCCTCCCCATTCTACAGTTAGTGTTTCCCTACCTATGATTTTCAAAGTTTGTAATCTCATTACAAGGTTACTTAAGACTTTTCTTGGATCATTTTTAAAAGCATGCCTCTGAGAAATGTAGGAAAGATGTTTTAATTGTATTTATATTATATAAATTTGTTATATTTATTATATAATTATATTTTATATTATATATAAATATATTATATTTCTGTTATATTTATATTATGTAAAATACATAAACATTATATTTATATTCATTGTTAGGCTTCTCTCTAGCACACGGATGACTATAGGTCCAGGTGATATGAGTGTAGTCAATAAATCTAAACCAGTAATGAGTCACCTTTTTTTTTCAGGGGTTACACCTGTTTGATCTCAAATCAATGCCACCAGGCTTGGCTGTATTTCTATGTTGCGGCCCATAGAGATATTTGTCTTCCACATGATTGTAAACTTGCCATCTGAGCCAGTCTGAAACTGTATTGAGTAAAGAAAGGCTCTTCCAGGATGCCAATTAGTAGTACTGATCAGCTTTCTTCATTTCTTCTTCTCCCAGAGAACCAAGGGAGTACATGGAGAATCTGAAATGCCTGCAGTGCCATCCTGAGTGTCTGCCTCAGGTGATGAATCAAACCTGCACAGGACCGGTAAGGAGCATATCTGATATCCCAGGCTCACAAGGGGCCAACATCACCTGAATACAGATCAAACCTTTTTCTGTATTTACTCAGAGAGTACACTGGTCTTAATCCATAACCTCTAGAGAGGTTGCTGCAGAATATCTTAGAATCATCCCCTGGAAGCCTCATAGTAAAGTGTCCTAGGTAGTAAAATTTCATTTGTATTTATCCTTTAATATCCTTGTTCTCCTTTCTGGGTCTAATTCTGAGCCTATGATTATTCAATAAACATACACACAGCACTATGCTACATGATTCAAATTCCTCTACTCACTTCCTACTAAGGAAGTCACAGGGCTTGGCCTATTAATTGTATTAGTGATCCATATTCTTCTTGTTCATAAATATTCTGGGTGACTCAATTTATGATGGATATTGGAGAACTTCCAGAGAAGGGCATCCAGGATTGTTTCCATGGCATTATGTCCATGCTTTCTGAGGACTGGTTGAAAGAATTGGGTATGTTAAAGCCTTATATAGAGAAGCCTCAATGGCTAGGGGGAAGCATAGGGAAGATGTACAATATAGCTATCTTTAAAAATTATGGGGGCAGCTAGGTGGCGCAGTAGATAGAGCACTGGCCCTGAAGTCAGGAGGACCTGAGTTCAAATCCGGCCTCAGAACAAACACTTGACACTTACTAGCTGTGTGACCCTGGGCAAGTCACTTAACCCCAATTGCCTAAAAAAAAAAAATAAAGAATTATGGAGAAGGGATTTTATTTATTCTATTTGATTACCCCCAGTCCCCAGTGGGAACAACTGAGGTGAAAGGGTAGGACTGAAAGTTTAGAGCAAGTTTAGGTTAATGTAGGGGGAAATTCTCTAACTATTACAGCTGCCCCAAATTAAAATGATCTGACTTGAGGTGGTAGGGTTCCCTTCATTGAATGTCTAAGCAAAGACAAAATGAAGGATTTAGAATTAGGATTTAGAAACTGAAGGGAGTTTAGCAATCATCTGGACAACTTCTCCATTTTAAAGATGAGGGAGAGGTCAAGTGGTTTGCTCCCTAAGGGTTTTTCAAGGCAGACCCAGGTCCTCTGAGTCCAAATCTAGTGAGATCTTCTCATGATACCTAATTGACTCAATATCTGGGTTGGAATGTCTGGCTTTCTTATTTTCTTTCTTCTTAGGATAAAATACAGAATTGAAGAAAACATGTTCTACCTTAAAGGCTAAGAAGGCTTATAAACTTACTTTGTTTTCTTTTAGGGTCCTGACAAATGCATAGAGTGTGCTCACTATATAGATGGTCCACACTGTGTCAAGACTTGTCCAGCTGGAATCATGGGAGAAAATGATACCTTGGTCTGGAAATATGCTGATGCAAATAAGGTTTGCCAACGATGCCATCCCAATTGTACCTATGGGTAAGTAAAACCTTTAGCTGCCTAGAAAAAAATGTAAAATTACAAACTAATTTTTCTGAAAGCAATCGACAAGAAGCTAATGTTGCATCAACATTAACACAACCAAGTAGTTGAACTAGTTCCTCTTTGTTGGTCTGAGTTCATGGGTTTAATATTTGACTCTCTTAGTGGCTGAGTTGAGTAATGATTTTTCATATAAAACAAATGCAAAAATCTCGCTGGAACAGCATCTCCTCAGCAGGATTGATGGCACGGGAAGGTAAGCCTAGTGCTAGTACAGGCTACAGTGGTCATAAAAACAGGCCATAGGAGTAGTTATTCAATTTTTTCATATTGAATTTTGATATTTTCTTATAAGAGGCCCATTCCATTCAGCATCCCTGTCTCTAGTTTGATTAAACAAAACAACTAAGTTCAGAGGAACCTCATAGTTAGGTTCAAAAAGCGTAAATAATCAGTCACTCAACATTTATGAGACTTTTCCAAACCTTCCTAAATCAGAGTGAATATGTCATAATGAAAGTGAACACCATTAACCAGGAAACTAAGGCTCTTGTAGTCTTTCCAATGCTTATTAAAATTTTTCATTATCATCATCACATCATTAAGCATCCTATCTGATATCTCCTGCATGCTCTCTTCAAAGTCCAGAGTTCATTATTTTCAAGAGCCCAATCAGCCTGATATTAGGCAACATGCCTTCTTGACAGTTGATCAGAAGCCCTATTTCCTTATACTAAAGGCAACATGTCTTTGCAAAATATAGTATGAAATTTCAACACATCTATGATTTCATAGGTTTGGGCGCCTACTCCCTGCACAGGTGAGATCATGTCCTATCCATATCATCTCCCTCTGTAAGATTTTTGTTCACAAGCTCCAATAAATCCTCCATACTGGATCCATATAGCACACTGGAAATTCTCCCCAGGGTTTTAATATTCTAGGCTACCAGTGCAGTAGAATGAGCACTAGAATTGGAGATAAAAATCTGGGTTCAAATCCTAGCTATGCCATTGCCTGTGTGATATTGAACAAGTCACTTCTCTTCTCAGAGACTCAGTTTCCCCATCTGTAAAGCAAAAGGATTGGACTAGATGACCTCTCAATCCCTTTCAACTCTAAATTTATGCTCTATTCTAAGGATAGAACGAGATACTTTACCAAATACTTTCCTAAAATGTATGTCATTCTTATAGGATAGCTAAGTGGGGCAGTGGATAGGGTGTGGGGTGTGGAATCAAGAAGAAAGGCTCATCTTCCTTAGTACAAATCTGGCTTCAGACACCAACTACCTATTTAACCTTGGGCAAGTCACTGGATCCTGTTTACCTCAGTTTCCTCATCTATAAAATGAGCTGGAGAAGTAAATGGCAAACCACTCTAGTATCTTTGCCAACAAAGCTCCAAATGGGATCATGAAGAGTCAGATACAACTGTAAAATGACTGAACAAACTCTTAATTCTCCCCCTCACTCTGCAACCAACCTTTTTCATTCTCTAGCCACACGTGTGCTCAATGAAATATTTGGTAACACTTCCTGTGTACGAGTCATCATTGGCAATAATACTCCATGGCCCACTCACACCCACCATGCATCTACTCCTTGAAGTCCCTGCAGTTTTGATTCTTTGATAGCAACACCCCACAAATAGTCAGATAGAATTACCCAAAACTTGGTATTTTTTTTTTAAAGATGTATTTTTATATTATTAAGCAGCTTGGGAATTGCTGAAAGCACTAGTCGGTTTCCCAAGTACAATCCAATCTCATCTCCTTTAATTCTGAGCCTGGCTTATTTGTCCATCCTTAGCCCTTGTCTGGCTCAGTATAACCTCAAGAGGGACAGGAAGTAAATCTTCACTAAATATGGGTTTAGGGTCCCCCCCCCACAATCTATTCGTGACATTTGCTTACACAGTTAGCATTTAGAGCTATCATCTCAAGGGAAAAGAGTCTTTAATAGACAAGATGCTAACTAGGTTATAATCTCAGTGGCTGAGGGGACATGTTAATGTGATTAAACCTTTAAACTTTTATAATAGTTTCTATTTTCTGCACTTCTCTTCTCCTGGGACCACAAATCACTTTAACCTCAGGTGGCAAAGGAGCTGAGTAAGGAGTATGAAAAGAAATACTGCCCTGTAATTAATAATGCTTGGCCTTATCGCCGATAGCTCAGTCCCACAAATTTCTTGGTTACAGGTTTATAAATTCTGCCATTAATTCAACAAAGAACCCAGGAGGAATTTTCAGTAGTTGGAACTCAGATCTTCATTTTCCTTTGGCATTGGGATAATGAATGAAAAGTAGAGGTCATGGGAAGGTCTTGGGAAGCTTAGGAAATTATAAAAAGATAATTTATCATTTTGATTAGGGCTTGAAGTAACCTATGCTATTACAATTAGTTTCACCTCCAAAAGGCCATAAATTAGACAGAAACTGACCAACTAAATTAGATTCAGATTAATAATTATGGAAAAAGCTAATTTTAAAAAATCTTGATAGTAATAAAAAAAATGAATCTCTCTACTTGGAGTGGGGAAGGTGGAAGGAGGTAGTAATTGAGAAAGAAAGGGGTCCAGACCAATTATTTCATCAGAGCAGAAAACTCTTGGTGTAGAAACTTTGTCTACTAGTTCAGATCTATATCCCACCTATCATTTCTTCTTAGTGAGAGTTGTCTGGGTGCACTGAGAAGTTAAGGAGCATGTTCACAGTCAGGCAGCTAGTCTGTGTTAGAAGCAGGACCTGAGCCCATTATTCCTGAACTTCAAGGTCAGCCAAGCCTCCATCCACTTATCTGAGTCTATACTAACTAGTTCTGAGCAGTTAATATGTTGATAGACAACTTTGTGGCTGTATGACTGTCAATCAGGAGACATTATAATCTCTAAAAAATCCAAAGTGCAGGTTAAGTCAACAAGTGTTCATTAAGTACCTATTATGTGCCAGGCATTGTATTAAGGCCTTGACATAAAGGGTACCATGCTGGGGATAAGGAGGCTGCCGTGTATTTCTAATGATATCTTGCATCCAAAAAGTAGGATAAGGCATTTCATCAAAGATATGTATGATGGGAAAAAGAGGACCAGGTAGTGAGTTTAAGCAGTAACAGTAGACACCTGGGCTATTGCCTAATTACCCTTCAAAATGTAAAAGGTCCAGAGGAAGGAACAAGAATTGGTTCTCCTATTTATATCACTTGAATTTTCTTAGCTTCACTCACCAAAAATTAGGAGCCAAGCATCTAGATGCTTTGTCTATATACAGTGCTACACATCTGGAAATATCTGCAAGAGTGACTGCATTTTTCACTTTTCATCTGGACAGTAACCATACACATATATAGTCCTACCCATAGACACCACTGTGAGATATGTGTGCCTGAGACATTTCTGTATTCAGTAATTTAAAGGAAACATATCTATAATATTCCTTCAACTCAGGCCATGCTATTAATACAATTATCAGAGAAAATACATGTAAATCACTGGGCAAATTTTAAAACACAATGTAAATGTCAGTTTTGGGACATTTTGGGACATAGGCTGATCAGATGAAAAGCAAGTAATGAGAATTCATTTGTGACCAATAGGATGCAGTAGAATTGTTGACTTTGATTAATTTTTTAAGGTGTGGTAGCTGATGTTGGTTTTTTTTTTCCTCTTCTTCATTCTGCAGGTGTGAAGGTCCAGGTCTTGAAGGCTGTCCCACACCTGGGTAAGTATTGCAGGTATACGTATACTGATTCATTAATCGGTCAGTCAACAAGTTTTTGTTAAGTGTTTACTATGAGTCAGATATTGTGCTAAACACTAGAGATACAAAGAAAGGCTAAACAAAAGAATTCCCAACCTTCAAGGAGCTAACTTTTCAAGGAGGAAGACAATATGTAAATAACTTGGTTAATTACAAGATATACACAGAATTATATGGAAGGTGATCTAAGAGGGAAGGTGCCACCAGCTGAGGGATCAGAAAAGACCTCCTACAAGAGGTGGAATCTGAGGGAAGCCTTGGAGAAAGCCAGACGATGACAGGTGGAGGTGAGCAGGGAGAGTATTCCAGGTTTGGGAGTCAGCCAGGAAATGGAGTGAGCTTTTCAAGGAATAGCAGCTAGGCAAATGTAGCAACATAGGGGAGCATATGGTGGGAGTAAAATGTAAAGGACTGGAAAGGTAGAAAAGGAACAGATTACAAAGAGTTTTAAATGCCAAACAGACAATTTGTATTTGATCCTGGAGGTAATAGGGACCCACTGGAACCCATTGTGCGGGAGGTGACAAGGCCATTTTGGCCTCTGAGTGGAGGATGGATTGGAGTGGTAAAGGACCAGTGCCTACATGACCTATTAGAATACTGTTGCAGTAGTCTGGGCCAGAGGTGGGCAGAGTTGTCAACTGCCATCATTTTTCTGGCTTCATGTTTATGCTCTCCATTTCACTGATGGTAATAATGCCAATATAACATTCAGATTATTGAAGATACCTTAAAGTAGTAACTATGGTCTCAAAAACAGTCTAAATTCAGCCTCCACTAATTCAGACATGTTTTTCTCTGGTGGGTTTGAACTAGTGAGCTTTGATTAAAGCTGGTCTTCTTTAAGATTTTACTTCCTCAGTGAGCAGAACCAGAAGAACATTGTACACAGTAACAGCCACGTTGTGCGATGACTAATATTGACTTAACCCTTCTCAGCAATACGAGGATCTAAGACATCTCCAAAGGCCTCATGATGGAAAATGCTATCCACATCCAAAGAAAGAACTATGGAGTTTGAATGCGGATTGAAGCATACTATTTGATATTTTTTTTTTCTTCTGTTGTGTTTTGTTTCCTCTTTCTGGTAGTTCCTCCTATTGGTTCTAATTCTTCCTTACAACATCACTAATGTGAAAATATGTTTAATAGGAATGTGTATGTATAGCCTATATCAGATTGCACTCCATCTTGGGGAGGGAGGGGGGAGAAAAATTTTAAATTCAAAAGCTTATGGAAGTGATGGTTGATAAATCAAAATAAATTAGTTAAAAAAGATTTGACTTCCTCATGTGGAAAAATTGGAACACTAATTCATTGTTGGTGGAATCGTGAACTGATCCAACCATTTTGGAGAGCAGTTTAAAACTATGCCCAAAGGGCTATAAAACTGTGCATACCCTTTGATCCAGTAATACCACTACTAGGTTTATATCCCAAAGAATTCATAAAAAAGGGAAAAGGACCTACATGGACAAAAATATTTATAGTAGCTCTTTTTGTGGTGGCAAATAACTTGAAATTGAGGGGATGCTCATCAATTGGGGAATAACTGAACAAGTTGTGGTATATGAATGTAATGAGATACTACTGTTCTATAAGAAATGATGCACAGGTGGATTTCAGAAAAACCTGAAAACATTTACATACTGAGTGAAGTGAGCAGAACCAGGAGAACATTGTGCACAGTAACAGCAATATTGTGCAATGATCAACTATGACAGACTTAGCTCTTCTCAGCAATACAATGATCCAGGATTGTCCCAAAAGACTCATGATGGAAAATGCTATCTACATCCAGAGAAAGAACTATGGAGTCTGAATGCAGATCGAAGCATACTATTTTCACTTTTTTTGTTTTTTATTTCTCATGATTTTTCCCTTTTGTTCTGATTCTTCTTTCACGTGACTAATGTGGAAATATGATTGTACATGTGTAATCTATATCAGATTGCTTGCTGTCTTAGAAGGGGGAGGAAAGGGAGGTAAGGAGAAAAATTTGGAACTCAAAATCTTACAAAAACGAATGTTGAGAAGTATCTTTACATGTAATCAGAAAAAAAAAATAAAACACTATTAAGTGCAAAAAAAAAATTGGCTTTCCCCTTCTCATGGGACAGATTACTTGGCATTGTTATTTATTTGACTTTCTCTGTGATTGTAAGGCAAGGCAAGACACCCATTCGTCCCTTTACCTGTTTCCAAGCCCTGATACCGATCACTTCTTTTATGTGTCGTCTATGTGTCACCTATGTGTTGCCCTGACTTCTTATTCCACACCAGCTGTTTTTGTGCTTTGAATGTTGTGCAAGCTGCTGCTTTTGCTGCTTCTAGCCTTAACTGCATCCTAACCCATTCCCTACAGAGGGAATTAAAAAAAATTAATTATTTTTAGGCAACTGGGTTCAAATGTCTTGCTCCCACTGGTCACACAGCTAGTAAATGTCAAATGTTTGGTCTGAGGCCGGATTTGAACTCAGGTCATCCTGACTTCAGGGCCAGTGCTCTATCCACTGCACCACCTAGCTGCCCCTACAGAGGGAATTAACACACCTACTTCCTATGCTTTTTATTCTCATATGGTGGTATGTGGCATTTATAGGTTAGGGTTTTTTGTCTTTGATGACGGTTTTTAGCTGTGGGGAGAGGGGAAGGGGAACTTTAGGTGCTTGTTTTTAATAGCCACTGTGCCAAAACAAGAAATATATTCAATCTTATTTCATTGATAAGCCCATAAAACATGCTTTCCTCTTTTGCCTTCTTTCCAGTCCCAAGATCCCTTCCATAGCCACTGGAATTGTGGGTGGCTTTCTCTTACTGATGGTGTTGATCCTTGGCATCGGTCTTTTCATTAGAAGGCGCCATATTGTCCGTAAACGCACACTGCGCAGGCTACTACAAGAAAGGGAGGTAAGAGTCCAGGATCCTATCTCTCCCAATTGAGAGGTTATTATGGGACTGACTAGATTTGTATAATATAGTAAAAAGTACTCTACTTCCAGAGAAAGGGAACCTGGTTCAAATTCTAGTTCTTATTAACCTTAAGTGGTGAGTGAAGCCAATTTTAGTTAAGCTGGTCTTCAGGTAATCGACACACAGTCTACCACTGGACCTCTTCTTAAAAGCCAAAAACTTTCATAGTATTAGAGAACTCAGAGTTGTCTCCATACCATGATGAGGCATCAGTGCAGGACTTTACTTAAGGAAATATGATATCATGAATGGAAAAAACATACGTCACAACAAGATTCCATTAGGTAGCTACTTGGTGTGGTGCTATACTTGGAATTATAAGTCAATTCGTGCCAGCAACTATTTATTAACCATCTATTGTGTGCTCAATGCTATGCTAGGCTGTGTAGTGTACAGAGTTCAAGAAGTTTAATACAGTCCTTGATAGTAAAGGAGGGAGGAAATCACAATTTCCACCAATTATTTCTAGACAACAATGCCAACGGAGAGAACTGAGTTTGGCTTCAGGTCCTGCCTCTGAAGCTTACTTACTTATGGGATACTGGCCAAGGCAATTAAAGCTCTAGGCCTCTGTAAAATGAGAGGGTTGGACTAGATTCCCTCTGAGTTCTCTTCCACTCATAATCCCAGCATACCGTTAAGATGGCCACCGCCTAGATACCTTCTTCACCAAATGTTTTCAGCTCTTGCCTGAGAGGAATTTTTCCTCCCATGGAAACACATCTCCAATATTATAATCAAAGCGATGGGATAAAATGATTCACTTGATAAAACATTGTTCTATAGCCAACTTTGTTGAATCACTATATATTCCATAAAGCAAGCAATGCTTACGTGTGAATTGTTGCTATTTCCAATAGCCCTTCACGTTCTTTTAGAAAAAGTACCTCTTTATTATTCAAAATTTTCTGGTAATTTGACTGTGTGACCCCGGGCAAGTCACTTAACCCCAACTGCCTCACCAAAAAGCAAAAAAAAAAAAAAAAAAATTTGTGGTAATTAATTGAGATTAAATAAGAACCACACACAGCTGTTTATTAATATTTGACATCTGGTCAAAACTTCTGGTTTTCACTGTCCCTATGTATCATTCACAATATTTCAATAGGTCCTTTCATTTTTTTTCTTAATAGCTAGTAGAGCCTCTCACCCCCAGTGGAGAAGCTCCCAACCAGGCCCTTTTACGGATCCTAAAGGAGACAGAATTTAAAAAGATCAAAGTCCTTGGCTCTGGAGCTTTTGGTACAGTGTATAAGGTAAGATGATCCAGACACATAGTCATAAAGTGGATAAAAGGCCTTCGATTGGTCTGACCCATGGACTGCGGATAGGGAGACATACACGTGAGAAGTGCTAAGTACCACAAGCAATGGCAACAGAAAAGTGTATATTATAGGGATATATTTTTACTTATTTTTACCCCAAGTTGTTTGTGACATCAAAGACTTGGTAGCTTCCAAAATGCTCCTCAGACTGCTCAAGTTTTTGTAGCTTCTGTGGCAAATCAGTGGTCCTAGGGACAACCTATGCCATGGACCCCACACATTTTTTCATGAAGAGTAACCTGTTTTTGAGTGATAAAGTGGATACAAATAAATCATGAAAAGGGAACATTTTGAAGGCATATAGCATCTAGTCCTAAAATAGGTTTTGTTTTCTATTTTCATTAAAATTCTTTCTTGTCCATAGTCTAATTTCTTTAAGTCCCATATTTGTTTCTTAAAAGTGTCTACTGTTATACATTAGTTTCATGACTACCACATCCTTTATCTAGGTAAATGTACTCATGCAATGCAGCCTATCTTCTAAACAGTTCATGAGAAATCATAGTTCTTGGCAGTCCTTGGCAGGCGGCAACTTAGATTAGAAACATTTCATCCAATTGGAGTTTGTAGTTTTTAAATAATCATTTTTATCATGACCTTGGCCAAAATCAACAAGCATGGGCATATCCTTACACAAAGAATAGAATGAATCGATTGTACATGTTTCCATGGATCTCTAGTGCATATAGCTTGGAGTTTGTTTGTTTTTTCAAGTGTATATTAAATTTAACATGGAAGTTCCATTGTATTACCTGATTGATCTATACTCCCTTCTGAACTTCCTCCTGTTATCTTCTATGGATCTATCTGGGGTGTATTTTCAATAAAAATAATCACATTTGCAATCCAACCATATCTTGTGATATGAACCCTTCTAGCTAATAACTTCACTCTTCTTATTGCAGGGACTATGGATTCCAGAAGGAGAGAAGGTGAAGATTCCTGTTGCCATTAAAGAGTTAAGGGAAGCTACTTCTCCGAAAGCCAATAAGGAAATTCTTGATGTGAGTTTTCCTCTTCAATCTATAGACGGAAATCTTCACATACCTTGTATTTCAAATAATTTGGGGATTTGGCTGCAGGCGTCCCTCTCCTTGAAGCAAACACACTAAAATGTGCCCGTCCTTATTTTATTTAAGCTTTTTCTCCAGGGCTATCTGGCTCTGTTGTAGTTGGAATGAAACAGTGGAGTGAATGAAGCCCCTCGCTCCCAAACTGTCTCCTAAAGTGTCGTCTCCTCTAGCTTGTCTCAGAGAAAAAGGTTTCAGGTGGTTAAACACTGAGACCCACAAAAGAAAATATCTTCAAGTCAAAGACTTTTTAGAGTAGTTTAGTATAAATGCTTTTTTCATTTAAGCTAAATGCAAATGCACCAAATGCTTGTTGGTTGATTAAACGCATTGCACTTTGCCCACTATAAAAGCATTGCATTGCACCACTGCCCCGTCCCCTCCAAAAGAAAAAAAAATCTGGAGTCAACTCTCAGTTATCTGTATGTTGCTTATTTATTTTGTGGCATTTCCAACTGTGACAGCTTCCTCTACAGTTTGCCATGTTCCCAGATCTCATTTTATGGCTGTCACTCTGTATATAGCTCAGAAAATGCAAGCTCGTTTTAACATCAGCCTAAGCAAAACATAATTAGGAAGATAAGCCTGTGGAGTTGAGGGGAACAAAGAAAAAACAGTGTAGAGTAAAAATACCTGGAACCTATCCCAATGCTAAATGTGGATGTTTGGGATTATCGACACAATTACATAGCAAGGGTAATTCATAGTGGAAGGAGACCTACATCAAATGAGGCAAAATGTGAGAAGTGCATTTGTAACTAACCTTAAGATGCTTCATAAATTTAATCCTCATAGTACCCCCTATGAAGTAAACAGGGGAGGTATTATCGTTATTATCATATTTTATATGAGGACATGGAAGCCATTGAGGTTGTGACTTGCCCAAGGTCACACAATTAATTGATATAATAGTTGGTATTTATATAGCCTTTAAGATTTACAAAGCTTATTATAAATATTATCTCATTTCATTCTCAGAGCAACTTTGGTAGGTAGATTCTATTATTATTTCCTTTTCATAGATGAAAAAACTGAGGCAGATAGAGATAATGAGACTTATTGCATAGCTAGTAAGTATCTAAGATAGGATTTGAACTCAGGTCTTTGTGACTTCAAGTCTAGTACTCAATCTACCATACCACCTCATTGCCTGACGTGCAATTTCTAGTTCAGCGTTCTTTCCAATACACATACTAAACAAATAAGAAAAACTCAGACTTTCCTATTTCCAAAGCTCTAAAAACTCAGTTTGTGCTGAAGCTTGGTCACAGAAGTCAGATAATGTTTTTCCCCTCGTTTGGATCCAACCCACAGCATGAAAACACGACAAGAAACCAATGGAACATAGGCCTGATTGTAATATACACTGACATGGTGTATCCCTCTGTGGCCAAGTAAAACACCTTCTCTGGATTTCACACCTGAATTAATTAACTCTCTGAACCCCTCCCTGCTTTTATGAGCTTCTTTGGTGGAATCCTTCTGGATACAAGATGCTACACTAATCAGTCTGGCATCATTGAAATCAATTATAGATTTATCAAATAAATATATGTTCCATTTTAATGATTTAGAAGCAAACCACACCACCTACCTCATTACAAGCAATGGGGAGGAGCATTTACTAGTGAGTGTCAGCTGAGGTAGGGTGAGAGCAGGGGGGACAAACACGTGGCATTTTTCACGTACTGACTCTGGCCCCCATCTCCTAACATCCTGCTTCCAAACCTCTCAGAGAGATGGTTTAATGGAAGAAATATCAACCCTGACTCTAATCACCCTTAGCAACTCAGAGAGAGGGAAGCAAAGACAAACAGTTCTGAGCTGTCCTGAGACTAATCCAGGCTTTTACATTGGAAGAAATTATTACACAAGAGTTTTCCAGGAGATTCTGCATAGAAACTCCCTTTCGTATAGAGAGCTGGTAAGAGTCCAGGACCCAAAACTGATTTCAAGAAGCAGCTGTTACTAACTTGCTGTGATTTTGCTTCATTTGATGTAGGTCTCCTTCCACTATCATTTCAACATTCTGTGCCTCAGTCTCTCACTCTTTAAAATGATTGATGTGACCTAGTTTGACTCCAAGGCCCCAAGTCCTACCTTTCCTTTTTTTTTTTTTAGACTGGATCTATCATTTCATCAGTGTAGAAAATGGCCAGTGAGAGAACACCCTTAACCAGCACTAATCAGTCAATCAGTCAACATGCATCAAGGGCTTGCTATGTGGCAAGTTGGACTAGTGGATAGAGCACCAGGGCTGGAGTCAGGAAGATCTGGGGTCAAATCCGGCCTTAGACACTTACCAATTGTGTGACCCTGGGCAGGTCACTTAACTTCTATTTGCCTTAGTTCCTCCTCTATAAAATAAGGACACACCGGAGAAGGAAATGGCAAACTACTCCAATATCTTTGCCCAGAAAACCCAATGGAAAAAAGTCCATAGGGTCATAAAGTTGGACACAACTGAACAACATACATCTAAGAACGTGGCAGGTGCTACATAAGCACTAGGGATACAGAGAAGCAAAAAAACAGCTCTTTTTTCTGGAAGGAGCTCCCGTTCTAATGAGAGAGACAATATGCAAATAACTGTTCCTACAAGATAATGGAGAGAGTAAATGGAAGGCAATTTCAGAGAGAAGACTCTGGCAGTGTTTGTGTGTGGGGAGAGGGAGAGGGAAGAGGTCAGTGCTGGGAAAGACCTCCTACAGAAGGTGGAATTGGAGCTGAATCTTAAAGGAAGCCAGCATGGGATAAGGGAAAAAGGCACAGAGTTGGTGGTGGAACATCTGGTGCAAGGATTGGTTGTAGGGTGTGTAGATGAGATTAAATTGTAAGGTGACTAGAAAGACAGGAATGGGCCAGGTTATGAGGGGCTTTAAATGCCAAACAACATTTTCTATTTGGTCCTCAAATAAAGAGTGGGACACTGGGGTTTATTGAGTAGTCTGGTAGTAAGAACCACAAATCACTAGAAGATGGGGGCTCGTACTAGGGTAGCAGCAGTGTGAGTAGAGAAAAGTGAACTCATACAAGACATGTTATGAAGAAATAAGGACTGTTCTCCAACTTAAAACCTTTTAAAGCTGGCAGCGGCACTGAAAGGTAGAGAGAATTCCCTCTGGATGTGTAGTCAGTACATATCAGAGAAGCAATTTGAACACAGGTCTCCTGGACCCTCAGACTCGCCCTCTCCCCACTACCCAACACCATCTCTCAAATCCTAGCTAAAGATAAACAACTATGCCTACCTAGAATCTACATTACTCTCTCTTATTTTGCCTTTTCTTTTGTCTTTGTTTTATTCACTTTCTCTTCTCTTATGCCTGCTTCCCATTATTCCCCTTCTCATTCCTTAATTGTTACTGTGAAGGAGTTGGGCTAAGTGCCAGACTGTCCCTTAGCTCTTCTGTCGCAATTTTACGTATGGAAGGTGAACCACTGGAATAGGGGGTCGGGGCTGGCCGAAGAGGGTTCAGGTTGTAGAGCATGTTCTGTATAACCCACCATGAAGGGCAGACCTGACCATGCTTTAAGGCCTTCTCTGTCCAGTCCTCCTGATACACTTTAAAGGAGGCTTTTAAAGAATATGTATTTTATTAACTTTTGAAAAGATGTGAACCATTCACTTTCTTTTTTAAAATTAAATGTTTTATTAGAAACATACTTCACAGTAATATAAGTAAATTGCTCAGTTATTATTTATACTTAAGTTAACTCATTCCTATGCATAGACTATTGTAATATTTTTCAGTCCCTATTCCCCTTGAGTCTCCATCAGTATTTTTAGTGCATTCTTTATCATTCACCTTTCCTTATATGACTGTCATTAGCATGTATTCCACCCTTCCAATTCTGTTTTTTTTTCCCACTTTACATGATTTCATTAAAGTCCTTCCCACTTTAGATCTATGATCCTATGATCCCTTATAGATTTCTCTGAATTCCTATCATCTTTCTCTTAATAACCATATCAGTCTGAACTTTACCAAACTGATGAGGGCTAGTAAATAAAGAGAAAACATGACAAATGGCATCTGCTAAAGTCCTCATGTCCACAGGCCAACTTTGGCCCTGAGTGTAGGAGAAAATTATTCCCGTGGTATAATTGTAGATCAAGTGAAATGGTATTCTTTTGAATTATCAAAGGCATGTAATTTAAGTGGTTCAGATAAGTGAACATGCTCTTTTTTCCCCCTGTTGGAAGGCATCTGGCAACTAACACACACAGATTCCAGACCTTGTTTACTTTTGATGATTTGGTTAACTAGAGAAATCCTTTCCAACTCTTCAAACATTAAAAATGTTTCAAAGAATACAGGGACAAAGAAGAAGCAAGCTGAAAAATCATTGCGGGGATGGGACAAAATAATGGGCATTTCAAGATTGCCAAAATATCACCAAAAACCTGAATTTGCTGCTCAAAAAACACCCATTCTCATCTTTAAATTTGCTTTATGATGACCAGCCCCACTGGGGCTGGGCTAATTTAGGAGATTGTTGAGGAATTCCAAGCATACTTGGAGTGGGTCATGGTGTACCTTAATGATTTCCAAGATAAACAGCTAAAAACAAAGCTCACTTTAATTTCTGTGTATTCTGAAAGGGACACCCGCCTGAACAATGATCCTATTATGCTTTTTTGGGGGGGGGAGCCATGACCTAGTTTCATTTGGGGTATCAGATTTAATAGGCACTCAGAGAATCGGGAAGAAGGCCATGTTCTGTGTGGCCCATCCACCCACTCCCCACATTCAGTCCCCTAAATCCCCCATCTCCAGGTCAGCTCCTTGCAGACTATACAACAGATGGGCAGCTTGAACTGCTCAGGTTTGCAGATTTTTTTTTCTTTCCACTAAAATAAAGACAACATGGATCAGAATCTTGACCAGATCTAAAGGAAATTAAAATGGAAAAAGAATTTCTTTGGTGTTGTGATTGTACAGCTTCCCAGATGTAGGGGAGAGACCTGATTAGTACTTGTTTGTAATTCAGCTGTGCGCTGATTTTTGCCTCAAACTTTCCAGCATCAATTCAGCAATGATGATGGAAAGAGAATCCAAAATAGTATTGTTAGTACCTCAGGAAAAATAAAATAAAAGAAGCTTCCAGCTTTTTTGCAAACTACAACACTGAAAAGACTATCTTGGGCCAAGTGGCACCATTATGTCTTTTCCAACTGGCTTGATGGGAGGAAAACTGAGGCATAATTGATAAGATGTGAGCTCCTTGAGAATAAGGAATGTTTCAGTCTTTATATTTGATCCCCAGTACCTAGTACTGTTCCTAACATGTAGCAGGTGCTTAATAAATAATTGTTGACTGGCTAGATGAATTGCATGGTGCAACAAGGAGAGCTGTGATAAAAAGAGCCAGTAACATAGGTTAGAACATTGGAGTATTGTCCTACTGTAACTAACCTGTGGGCCAGTCAAGTCACTTCTCCACTGAAAGAGGTCATCTAAACCAACCTTCTCATAAAATAAGGATAAGGAAATTGAAGCCCAGAGAAGTTGTGACTTTCCAGAGGTCATACACCTAGTCATTGGCAAAGCTGCGGTTTGAACTTTTGTCTTCTGACTCCAAAGTATTCTTTCCATTGTACCATGGTGTTTCCTCATCAGTAAAATGAGGGGCAGCTAGGTAGCCCAGTGGATAGAGGATGGGGCCTGGAGTCAGGAAGTTCTGAGTTCAAATCCAGGCTCAGACATTTACTAGCTATCCCTCTTTGCCTCAGTTTCCTCATCTGTAAGATGAGCTGGAGAAAAAAATGGCAAAAACCACTCCAGTATCTTTGCCAAGAAAACCTTAAACAGAGTCCTGAAGACTTGGACATAACTGAAACGACTGAACAACTATAACAACAAAAATGAGAGACGGTCTACCCAGATATCTGAGGATCTTTCTACATCCAACATTCTATGAAGAAATGTTTGAAAAATGAGAGCATGTGGTCTAAAATATTCTCATCAAAACCAAAGAAAATCCAAAGAAGTAGGTTTCCTCTTACTCAGGAAAATAGCCAGACCATTAGGCTTCAATGGTCACTGACTTGATTCACTGACCACTCAGTAAACATCTTCAGAGCTCAGAAACTGTCTCTGTTCTCAAGGATTTCTTGGCCTAGTGTGACAATGAAGACACAAAGAGCTCAGCCTAATCCGCCCTTAGATGCTTACACATGTGGCCTTAACCTCCCTTGGCCTCAGCATCCTCATCTGTAAAATGAAAAAGTTGGACCAAACGTCTGCTGGACTTCTTTCTAGCTCTAAGTCATTCATGGGAACATAAATAACACAAACCTTAGAATCATCTAGAATCATCTAGCCCTAACCCATATTACAGTGAAAAAAAAGGAAGGCCACGGAGAGAAAATGACTTACCCAAAGGCAAACATATGGCATGTATCAGAACCAGGACTTGTTCTTTTAACTAGAGTAGTTACACAATTCACTTTATCTCAATGCGAATCAATGACTGTATTAGGGATTTATGGTGGACAGAGCACTGGGATCAGCACTAGGAAGCATACAAACTTTAGCTATGACATGAGCCTTGCCCTCAGTAAGAAGACTATGATCCCTACATGATTTACTGTGGTTCAGAAAATAGGGGAAAGGGAAAGAAAATTTACATACACCTACTATGCACCAAGTATAGGAAAAGGAGAAAAATATTTATATTATACCTCCCATATGCTAAGTACTTTATAAATATTATCTCATTTAATCCTTACAACAACCCTGTGAGGTTTTGTTGTTGTTCAGCCATTCAGCTGTGTCTGACTTTTTATGACCCCATGGACCATAGCAATCCAGGCTCTTCTATCCTTCACTATTTGCCGAAGTCTGTCCAAGCTCATTTTCATTGCTTCCATGATACTATTTATTCATTTTCCTTTTGCCTTAAGTCTTTTCCAATGAGGTAGGTGTTGTTATTACCCCCAATTTACAGTTGAAGAAACTGAGGATAACAGAGGTTAAGAGACTTGCCCAAGGTCACAGAAATAGTGAGTATCTGAAGCTGGATTTGAATTCAGATCTTTCTGACTTCAGGTGCACTCACTAACCCAGGCACCATCAAAATGGTGCAAAATGGCATAAAAGAGTTATGGAGTGAAAGGTCATTGTCAATTTGGAGATCAGCAAGGCTTTTTGGAGGAGGTGGAATTAGGGCTGAATATATACAACATTAAAAGAGCAGAATTTTCACTTCCACTGAAAGGAAATTACTGAGTGCCACTTAGCTGTTAGTAGGACATTTCTATTCAGAACATCCCAGGGAGGGAGGGACATCATAGCTGTTTCACAGCTGAAAATCAAACAACAAAACCCAGAAGGACAGCATTTGAGTTGAGCCCAAATCACTGGGGGAGCAAAGAACAAAACTTGACCGTGCAGTTTCTACTCAAAACACTCTCCAATTGGCCTCTCCCACCTCTCTGGGCAGTGAGTATGGTTCCACAGAATTAGTCTTCTTTCTACCGTTTGTACTTTAAAGAGAGAGTCCTAGAATTTAAGAATGAAAATTTAGGGCTCTCTTTTTCTTATTAGAGCAGGGTGTTTTTTTTTGTTTTGTTTTGTTTTTTCTCTTTAAGAATGAGGCCAATTGGACTTCTTCTGTCCAAGACCAGCAGGAAGGTTAAATAAATTACACATTCATTGATAGGTGTCAAATTCAGGACCCTGACTTGGCAGTCCTTGGTAGATGGTGTGGGTGTAACACTATATATAACTGCCTGGTTTTCTCATCATCAGAGGGATGTGGGAAAGTTCACAGATCTTTCCCCACACCCTTCCACCACCACCATCCAGTTCCTCCTCCCCACTACAGCCCCAGGAAAACAGATAATTATTTCTGGGTCTCTAATGACATCCAAAGCCCCTTGACAAGCATGAATTTGGGTTCTTTTAAATCACTCTTTGCCTGTTTCAAATAGGGGATCAAAAGCACATCAAAATATGTTAATTCAAATTGCCTAAAGGTTCTCTCCATAGTCAATTAACAAGCTGTTATTAAGAATTTACTTTGTGCCACGCATTGTGCGACGTTTTCGAAGGAAAGGCAGAAAAAGATAGATAAAGAAAGGTAGAAACATGATCCCTGCCCTCAAGAAGCTCCCATTCTAATAGGGGAGACAGCATGTGAATAACTTGGTACATACAAGATATATATAGTCAAGATTCCTCTACAGAAATTCTGTGATTTGTTGGTTCTGTGATTTGGATGTCCTAAAAAGAACGAATACCCTGATACGTCATTAGTATTCCCTTCCTTACTGCCCCATTGCAGTATGGAAGCAACCCTGTATTCTTGAAGACTTTGCCAATGTAGCACAATTTCTGGCACATACTACATGAAAGGCTTTGAGTCCAGACCCCACAATAGACTGTGTTTTAATGGTCAAGGGCCAGCTAAGCAAGTTCTGAGAGGCTCATCACCAGAAGACTGGCCACCAGGTGATTTTTTTTTTTGACCATAGCACCCAATAAAACTGACTGTTGAGACATGGAAAGCTGCTGGCATCATTACAGAATTCAGGGAATACTGAATATTGAATTCTGAATATGAATACTGAAGTTGCTAAGATTAAAGCCCTTCATAAATGAGAAACAATCACCAAAGGTTATTCATTTCGTTCATTCATTCATTCATTCAACAAGCATTTTAGAAGCACTTGGCATATACCAGTCACTCTCTTGGGCAACAGAGAGCACAGAGACAAAAATAAGATAGCCCTCTCATTAAAGAGCTTACATTTTGTAGGGAAAAGAAACATGTAAATTAATGTAAAATATATACCAAGTAAAGTCTACTTCTCTGATACTTAAGACTTTTAAAAACACTTTCTCCATCACCTCAGTTTGGCTTACTACAATCGGGTTAGTGCCTTCAAACCAGCCCAGTGGGATGGATCCACTGTCATCTTCAGGTCCTAAAGCACCAAAATTTGCCTTGTCAAATTTGCCTTTCCCTGTCACCTTCTTAATCTGTAGTAAATATGACTTTGAGGCTGCTCATCAACACCATAAAACAAGATGAAATGTGAAAAATTCAGCAATATATCGTAGCTACATAATCTTGATAGGTCTTAAGTTTGGAAATATCCAAAAGGTTAATTGAGGCAATGAGGTGGTGTAATGGACAGAGTTCTAAAATTGCAATCAGGAAGACTTCAGTTTGAATTTTTGAATTCCTTCTTTTTCCTTTCCTTCTTTCCTTTCTTCCTTCCTTCTCTTCTTCCTTCTTTCCTTTTTTTTTCTTTTTTCCTCTCTTCCCATTCTTTTTAAAGATACCTTATGACCTTTGCTTCTGGTCCTTGCATTTGGAAGGGTACTGATGTTGGTTTCCCTCTTTCTTTGAGCAGGAAGCCTATGTGATGGCCAGTGTGGATCATCCCCATGTGTGCCGTCTCCTGGGAATCTGTCTGACTTCCACAGTCCAACTCATAACACAGCTCATGCCATTCGGTTGTCTACTGGACTACATACGGGAACACAAGGACAACATTGGCTCCCAGTACCTTCTCAACTGGTGTGTGCAGATTGCCAAGGTAAATAAAAGGGCTGTTGAGCTTGGCAGAAAATATTCAAAGAAGCAAGCAACCATATTGAAAAGCGCCACCGAGAATAGTCAAGGGCCCTGAGGCCAGGCTTCATTTGAATCAGCTGAAGGAATTGTCAATGTTTAGCCTGGAAAGGAAAAGTCTTAGCTGGGGACATACTAGCTGTATTAAAGTATTTGAATGGCTATCAATTGAAAGGAATACAGTCTCAGTAGGTCCAACTAGGAGCAATGGGTGGGAGTTGTAGGTAGGTTCAAATTTGTTTAGAAGTAGAATGGTATGCCTTGGGACCACAGGGCCATAGATCTGAAACTGGAAGGAAGCTAGCTCTGGGGTCATCTAAGCCAAGTTCTCAATTTGTGGATGAGGAAATTAAAGCCCAGAGTGGATTAAACACTTATCCAAGGTCACACAGGCAGCAAATACAGAGCCAGGATTTAAACTCAGATCCTGTCTAGCTCTTCCCACAGCATCACACACTACCTGCAGTGAGTTTGCCTTCATCAGATGTCTCAAGCAAGTACTGGATGACCATTTTGAAGACTGTTGAAAAGGGGATTCTTGGTCAATATTTGATGAGACTAGATGATCTCTGAGGCATCTGGGAGGCACAGTAGATAGAGTGCCTGAGCTGGAGTCAGGAAGACCTGAGTTCCAATCAGGTCACAGACACTTACTAGCTGTGTGACCCTGGGCAAGTCACTTAACCCTGTTTACCTCAGTTTCCTCATCTGTAAAATGAGCTGGAGAAGGAAATGACCCTCTCCAGTATCCAGTATTTTTATCCAGTAACTCTAATATCTTTACTAAAAAAGTCCCAAATGGGGTCATGAAGAGTTGAAAAACAACTAACCAAAAATGATGATCTCTGAAGTTCTTCCTCACTCATAGTTCTGTGAATGCCTCTGTCATCCCTTCTTAAGTTGGTAAAAATGATTCACACTAAAAGGAAAACGAAGTTCAACACATTCCCAGTTTTTCACAGGACAGCACAGAGAGTACAAAATCCACCCTACATTTTAGAAACCCACCTCATTTTATAACTTAATTTTTATTTCATTACCCATAAAACTTCACCAAAACTATTAACAAAGAACAGATTTGACTGGTATGGCTTTCTTCTCTTCTCTAATCCACTTCCTCCATCTCAAGGGAGATGCTGATGAGCCAAAACATAGCCAAAAGTAAATAAAGACCTGGAGATCTACCCTGAAGTGTTCTCTGTTGGCATGTGTGTGTGTGTGTGTGTGTGTGTGTGTGTGTGTATGAGGGAGAGTATGTGTACATACATACCCTCTTCAGCATTTTGTATTTAAACAACTTTTTTTTTTGGGTGAGGCAATTGAGGTTAAGTGACTTGCCCAGAGTCACACAACTGGTAAGTGTCAAGTGTCTGAGGTCACATTTGAACTCGGGTCCTCCTGACTCCAAGGCCAGAGCTCTATCCACTATGTCACTTAGCTGCCCCCTAAACAACTTTTTGAAAGCACTTTTCACTTTTACTGTCCTTTAGACAAGCTTTATTCTCAGTGTTCCTTATTCTAATGCCAGATGAAATTTGCTTGGTGTGCTCTCAGTTGACTTACATGTAGCCAAGCAAGTGCTAAAAACTGAGCAATTCCCTCGAGGAGAGCCCAGGGGGTTGTAAGGAGCATGAAAGAGCATCTCGTGTCATTGCCTAAGTGAATGTCCTGAGTCAGTAATGTATAATGACTTAGGACCTGGATTTGAAGTCAGAGAATATAGATTCAGATCCCAATTCTGCTACTCATTGTCATCTTGGACAATAGTAATAATTGCTCACATTTTTATAATGCCTTCAGGTTTGCAAAGTATTTTGCATACCATATCTCATTTGATCTTCAATATAACCCTTTGCAGTAGAGTTGTCTCCAATTTTACAGATGAGGGAACTGAGGCTGAGCAAGGTTAAGTAACTAACCTTGTGTCACACAGCTAAGTAGTATCTGAGGTAAGATTCAAACACAGGAATTTCTGACTGCCATTATGTTCCACAGTATGGTATGCCATCCTGCCTTTCTCAGTTAACAATGAGAGGGCTGGACTAGATCAAGAGTGCTTAATTTCTTTGTTATCTTGGACCCTTCTGGCAGTCTGGTGAAGCTTATGGACCCCTTTTCAGAATAATGTTTTTAAATACATAAAATAAAATACAAAGATTAATAAAAGAAATTAGTTATATTGAAATATAGCTATTAAGTTGTTTGTTTTTTCTTTAAGTTCACAACTAGGCCCTAATTAAAAAGCTAGAGACTTAGATGATCTCTAAGTTTTCTCCTAGATGTAGAACCTTTGGTTCTATAATTATATTTAGGATATAACATGGAGAAAAATTGATGAGATTTCAAGACACTGTAAAAGATTCTTTTCCATAATCAATCCAAAAATATAAATTGTCCAAGTTATTGCTATTATTTTTCAAGTACTGTTATTTTTTCATAACCTGAGAAGTAACTAGTTCTTAGAGTCCCATGTCCTGAATTACAGGGCCAGCCTCTCTCCTTCTGGTCATACTGAGTGCGGCACTTGGGACAGCCTTGATAGTGTCTTTTTGCCTCCAACTCTACATCTTCAAAATGGAAATCACACTTTTTTAGGATATCACAATGTTAGGGTGAATAAATGAATGGTAGATACCGAATGGACGTTAAACTGTGTTGGTGTAGTAGAAAGAGCTGGTTACTGATGTTACTCCTTTTATAGACTAAGATAAACTTGGCCTTGTTCGTCTCTTCCTGTTTCAGAAGATGTCACAAATAGTTCTTCGTTAATTTGGGGGTTTGCGATATTAATGAGTAGTCTACTTGGCAAGATATCATGAAGAAATGATTCTGTTCTAAGAAAGACTATAATATTCACCCACTCAGAAGAATTCCCAACTTCCCACCCAATGAGTTATCAAATTACCGTTAATACACACAAAATTGCATGTGTAAAGTTTTCTTAGTTTTGTGCCCCACATTAACTAAGGACTCAGCATATCTGTAACTGCTAATTCACTAAGTCAATGTCTCCTTCGTGATCTGTGTGGTCCAATTCATCAAATTTCCTTTCTGAGCCCTGAAAGAGATAACCAGAATAACTAGACTCTTTATTCCCCCATAAATACATTGAAATTCAGTCATCAGAGACTATCAGCTATTAGAGTTTGCAAGACAAGCTTATTGAATAAGAAGAACCAGGCATTGGGCTGTCCTTCACTCATGAAGGTGGTAATGTGCTCCATCAAAAGACCCAGGGGGTTCTCCTGGTAAGCACCAAGCTTTCTGTGGTTCTCATAAATACCTACCTTTTTATCCTAGCTCCACCCCTTCTAGAGATTTCAGTGTTCCTTTTCAGTGCTTTCAGCCAAGGGGTGTGGTCTGAATAGTTCTGTCCAATTCAAGCCCCTATTCATCGGGAAAAACAATATCTTCTTCTACATATCTATAAATCCTGATCTTATGAACATGGCAGAATGGAATTGACCGTGGTTTAAGTGCACATATTTGTAGCCATAGAATCAAAAGAGAAAAAACATTAGAACGGCAACCACATGGACTCCATGTTAATGGGTACTTACAGACTTGGGCTAGCTTTAACCAATCTATAGTCATACCCCAAACCAAGAGTTCCAAGACATAGTTAAAGTGAGTAGACTCAGCCACAATTCATTTCTCTATCAATCTCTAAGGTCCCTACAAGCTTTAAATCTTATGAATCCATAAGCCACATTTTCTGGAAACACTCTTCTTCTTGGTCTAGCTGGGCCTAACCTCAGCACAAAATCTCATGGTTTTCATCCAATAACTCCTCGCTCTCGTACCACATTTCTTGATATAATTTTTCTTCCTCTTATTCCTTTTGGATGGAATTTACTCTAGGGAGTAACATTTCAATCTTAACTTCAAAATCAGCAAGCATTTAGTACTTATTTTGTGCCGGACACTGTGCTAAGCCCTGGGGATACAGAGAAAGCCAAAAAACAGTCCCTGCCCTCGAGGTGTTTGTATTCCAATAGTAAGACAACATGTAAAAAACTAGCTATATAAATTGTAAATAGGAGGTGAGATAAAATCTTCCCAGGTAGACTCTCAGTCTACTTACTGTGTAGTCAAATTCAGTGATCTCTTTTGGACTCCAGGAAAGCAGAGACCATTACTGAAGGATCAAAAGAATGGAGTTTAGTTAATTTGATATCCTAAAATGGATGCATCTAAAAGAGAGTCCTATAGCCTGGCCCCTATCACCAAATCAAGTAAAAAAGCACTCATTATATGCCAATCACTGTGCTAAGCCCAGGGAGTACAAATACAAGTAAAAATAAAGACAGTCTCTGCCCTTAAGGAGTTTACCTTCTAATAGAACACGCCTGCACTAACTGTGAAGCAGAACCAGCCACCTCCTAAGGCTGGGCAGTCTACTTTGTAACATTAGTAACTGATAAAAAGGCATTGAACCTTTTGGGCATCAAACAGAAGAAAGCTTACTTCTCTTTTCAGCAACAACCATTTGAATGGTGAGAAAAATGAGCTATTCTGCCCTCCAGAAGTCTTCCTTTCAGCAGATTAAACATTCCCATTTACTTCCATTGATACTTATATGGCCCATTGTCTAGAACTCACCATTTTGATTGCCCTTGTCTCCAGCACCATCCTCCTACATCATGGAGCCCAGAGAATAGATTACAACAGATGTGATTTACAGGACTATCCTCTGCTGGCTTTGGACCCTGTCCCTGATTTAATGCACCCCAAGATTGCATTAGCTCTTTGGAACATTTTCTCATACCATTGACTCATACTGAGCTTGGAGTCCACCAACACTCCCAGATATTTTTCAAAGGAGCTTTTATCTACCTATACTGTATTTAAAAAATGTTTAAAGTTAAATGTTGAACTTTACATTCATCCCTATTAAGTTTGATCTTATTCACTTTGGCCCATTATTCTGGTTGGTAGAGATCTCTCTGAGTCATGACTTTGTTATCTAACATGCGATCCTCCCAGCTTTGTACCATTTGCAAATTTGATGAGCATTATTACCCATACTTTTATTTAAGTCATTGATAAAGACATTGCTCCAGTTAAAGATGGTTGAGGCAGGCTCCTGAGTACAGGCTTTAATCACACAATGCCCTCCTTTCTTTCATTAGCTATATTTCAGTCACAGGTAACTCTGCCTCATCGCCTATTAACTGTGGCCAAAATGTGTTTGTCTTCAGCACGTGAAGAATAATATTTAATAGCTTGTAACAAGTTTTAGTAATGTGCAACTAAGCAAGGGAAGGAAAAGAAAATAACAATTCCCCCCCCCCCCCAACTCCTACAGAGAGACACTTGCCCTGGGGTTAATAGTTATTTATCTGAGCACCAATTTCATTTTTAAAAACCCAGAGTGGGATTATCCAGGAGCACTTAGTGGCAGGCCAAAAACTAAACTACTAGCAATTTTCAAAGTGAGATTTATTGGTTCATAAATTGCATATCTTAAGCTATGAAACTATCAGCTATCCTGGGATATTTTCTAAATATAGCTTTTGTGTGTGAATCTGTCCTCTATACTACAAGTTTATTGACCTGAAAAAATGTCAAGGAAATAGGCAGAGCAAGAGTGATGTAGTTGTAAAAGGATTGGATTTGGAGTGAAAAGACCTGCATTTAATTCTTGACACACTGCTCCTTACCCTGTGTCACCTTGGAAAGTCACTTTACCCTTCTCAGCCTTAATCTATTCCTTTGTAAAATGAAGAGTTGTACTTAATGACCTCTGTCTGAGGCCCCTTCCACATCTAAATCCTATGATCCTACTGTTACTTAAAGGAAATGGGAAAGCAATTAGTAGTGGGTTAAAGGATGGTCATGGGTGGAAAGGAAATGTCATTCAACCTTGCTGTATTGGGTGTGACTAGAAAGCCATGAGCCTGGTTTCCCATAAGCCACATACAAAAATCAGTCTCATTTCATTACAGTTATAGCTCATATTGTTGTAGGTTTCAATTAAGATATTATTTGTAAAGAAATTTGCAATGCCCTGTATCTAATAGTCATTCCTTACCTCTAAAGTAGACATTTAAGGAGGGATGTGTACTTCTTCCAATCTTTCGAAATGTTAAGGATATTACTGCCACAGTAATATAATCATTAAGAAATTTCTTGCAAAAAAAGCTATGTCTCCATTACTGACCTGACCAGTCTATTAGTTTGGGGTAACTAGGTGGGAAAGTGGATAGAGCACTGGGCCTGGACTCAGAAAGACCTGAGTTCAAATCTGGTCTCAGACACTAACTAGCTCTGTGACTCTGGGCAAGTCACTTAAGGCTGTTTGCCTCAGTTTCCTCATCTGTAAAATGAGCTAGAGAAAGAAATGGCAAACCACTCCATTATCTTTGCTAAGAAAACCTCAAATGGGGTCACGAATAATCAGACTCAACTAAAATGAACAACAACAACAACAGAACCCCTACGTGTGCTGAAGTAAAATAAATTGAAATAAAGCAAACCTGGCCAAGTGTGATGAGATATGCCTCACTCTTCATTTATAGTCTATTATCTTCCCGCCAAGAGTAGAGAGACACTTCACCACCAGTTCTCTAAAGTGAAGAAGTGGTAATGTGGATAGATAGCAGAATGGATTTGGGGTCAGAAAGCCTGGATTCAGATCCTTCCTGCCTGTACTACTTAATAGCTGTGTGATAACGGGCAAGCCAATTAAGCTTCTGGGCCTCTGTTTCCTCATCTATAAAATGAAGGGGTTGGAGTAGACCCTGAGTAAGTAACTCTGAGGTCTCTCCCAGCTATATATCTAGGATTCTGAGATTGGTCATTGGCTTACTTTTTCATCCATGTTTGTGACTTTCAAAATCACAGAAAACACCTCTGTGAGAATCCACAGGATCTTTCATCATAACTGAATCCTCTGAAATATTTAAAACTGTGCCTCTCTTTTCAAATCTCTTACTGGCCATCTTGCAGTCATTAACAATAACAACAAAAATCTGAAGCTTTTCAAGGAGAACGCAGGAAACACACTTCCCAAGAGACTCTCTGAAGACCTATTCTTACTCCACTTCCTGCAACTTGTTTGTTTGAATACTGTGACTTCATAGGAGAAATTAGGCTCTTATCTTTGGGGGGCTAGCTAAACTCTAACCCTTTGGGGCCCTGAAGTAGAATTTCAGGCTGTCTCTTGGACAGCGGACAGATGCAAGAGTGAACAGATAAGAAAGGTTTTTTTTTTAATTATTATTGTTTTTCTCTAGCCTTGGATGACTCTAAACCCTGCAGTCCTGGCACTCTGATTTAAAAGCCTCATCCTTTATCATTTGGCTTCTTGGTTGCTTATACTGGGAGTCATAAGATGTTCCTTGCTCCCTTTTTCCACCCCTCTTTGAAGACTAGATCACAATGATGAATAACTTAGGTTTATCAGTAAGTCTTGAGTTCCAGTCAAGAAAACTTCACAGTTAAGGCAAGTCTTGGACTTTCAAAATCTTGGGCTTGGGCCGGAAACAGAGTCTGGAGGAGGGGCTGGGTTAGATTTGTATAATGAAACAAATTTACCAAGTGGCCCAAGGCCAAGTTGCTGGGATGTTTCTTTTGGCCACACTAACAGGCCTCTGCACAGCGGGGGAAGTTCCGCTCAGAGGGCCCTGGCAGGGGAATTGGGAGGAAAGGATCAGATGGTGGTCCTTGAGGCTCAGAGGATGCAAACTGCTGAGCCAAAGGATTCCCAACTGCAAGTGTTCTAATTATCTTCTCCGAAGTAGGTTGGTGCTTGGATCTCCAACAACCAAAATAGAAGTTGGAGTGGGGGGATTGTTAACCCTGTGGTCTTTAAGAAGACTTAGTAGGAGAGTGATTGTAGATCTCAGTGGAACTGACAAGACCCTCGGAAATACTTTCTTTTTCTTTTTTCTGGAATACAAAAGGAAGTAAGGGGAGGGAAGAAAGAAGGAAGGGAGGAGGGAGGGTGGAGGGAAGGAGGGAGGATAGGGAGAAGGAAGGGAGGGAGGGAGAGAGAGACAGGAAGGGAAGGGAAGGGCAAAGGTATGGATGGAAGGAAGGGAGAAACGGAGAGAGAGGGAAGAAAGGAAGGAAGGGAAAGAGGAGTGAGGGAAGGAGAAGGGAGGGGGATGGAAGAAAGATGGAAGGGAGGTGGGAGGGAGGGGAGGAGGAAGGGAAAGGGGAAAGAAGGAAGGAAGGAAAGAGTGAAAGAGGTTTCAAGTACTTGTTGAAGATAGTGGGTTTTTGTTTTGTTTTGTTTTGTTTTGTTTTTGCCTGCAACCAGAAATAAATGGCCCTCAAGTGAGGAGGATCTATGTGTGGAGGATAAATGAGGGAGTAGAGGGAAGAAAAAAGAAAAGAAGGGAGAGGGAGGAAAAAGAAAAGAACAGACAGACTGGAAAAGAAAGCTGATTTAGTCTTGAAAAAAATGTCATGACTCAACAGCATTAATAAGCCAGGACAAATAATTAATAGATTGAATCTTCTGCAAGAGGTAGTAGTGCAAAGACAAACAGTATGTTCAATGTTAGAGAGATGGCAGCCCAAGGAATAGGTTAGCCTTGCAAAGATCAGAAAGGGAGGTACTATTGAGTTCTAGGGAGGAGGGTTTTTGTTTTTGTTTTTGTTTTTTTAAGGCATTAATTTGTTTCCAGCTTCCTCTCTCTGCCCCAAAATCAGGGTGTAGATTGACTATGCAGACACATAAGTGATGGGGAAGGGGGCATTTGATTTTCATAAGCAAAGAGTGCCAACACCCATTCTTGCTTATTCTTTAAAAAGATTAGATGTCTTTAAAAAACCACACTGCAAAAGCAGCTCATAATATCACCTGGGAAACAAAACTATCACCTGCCTTTTACAGACGAGGAAACTGAGACTCAGAGTCATGTGCAAGTCATGAAGCTAATGCAATGACAGAGCTTAGTCTCAAACCTGGGTCTTTTGCTGCCAAGTCCTATGAGCTTTCTACTACCCCCCACCACGGTTGCCTATTGGCAATTCCTATGTCTGATGCAGTGGAAAGATCCTATGGTCTCTTCACAAGCCACTGGGAAGATTGTAGATTTGAGTGCTGCTTTTCTGTATCCACAATAGAAGAGTGGTTTTATGAGGGGCAATTTCTTATTCACTTCCTCTTCCATGCCTATGCTTTTCAGGGGATGAGTTATCTAGAAGAGCGCCGCTTGGTACACCGTGACTTAGCAGCCAGAAATGTACTTGTGAAGACACCTCAGCATGTGAAGATCACAGATTTTGGGCTGGCAAAACTGCTTGGCGCTGATGAGAAAGAGTACCACGCTGAAGGAGGCAAGGTGAGACGCTTACAGGTTTCACCCAGCATTCAAGGAAACACTCATTTAATGGACAGAAATACACGTTCAGACTCCTCATCTATGTGGTAGCATGATTGTCTCTGTTATTATTTTGCTAGAAACCTTTATTATTATGCTGTATCATCCCTGGATTCAAAAATAAATCACAGATCATTCTTAGCTGAGCCACAGTAGGTATTACTAATTGACATGATTCTGTTTAATGCTAAGATGAATGAAGGCTAGCAGGTGGAAGCCATGATCCAAAGCATTTTGGTGTTTTAGTCATTTAAAAGGCTCATGATTTTATCTGTATGGGTGCTGTGCCCTCCAGTGCAGATGACTGCCATCTCTCTATGCTTTAGTAAGTGGCATGAGTTACTATTACCATTTTTCTGGTGATAGACTGGCCCTCAGTTGATGATACGTCATCGTTAATCCTATCCTCAAAGGCCTCCTAGCTTGTCCAAACCTTCCCAGAGCTTGTGGTCTTCTGGTAGTCTTTGAGAAGTCAGAGTGACCTCTCTACCACAATGTGGCAGTAGAGAAAGACCTGAGTCAAGTTGTTGAGTCAAGGCCAATAGTAGGAGGTCACCAAGTGCTCCTTGAAGACAAGATAATAGCAATAATAATAGCTCACATGGCAATTTACAAAATGGGAAGGAACTGATGAGGACAGGTGAAGCAAGCAAGGTCACACAGTTAGTAAATAGCAAAGCCATGAAATTCTATTCAAGGGAGTATTATGGACATGGATTTAAATCCTACCTTTGTGGCCTAAGGCAAGTCATTTAATCTCCCTCTAGGTCTCATTTTTGGTTTTTTTTTTTTTTTATATCTTCAAAGTGAAGAACCTGGGCTCACCAACCCCTGAGATTCCTCTCAGCTCTAGATACGTGATCCAGTGAGCTACAAACATTTATTAAGCACCTCCTATATGTAAGGCCCATATAAAGATGAAATAAGACAGTCCCTCAAGGATTTGGTCATCTAAGCAGGAGGTATAAAACATAAATACAAATAAAAAATAAAGATGTAGGGGCAGCTAGATGGCGCAGTGGATAGAGCACCGGCCCTGGATTCAGGAAGACTGGAGTTCAAATATGGCCTCAGACACTTGACACTTACTAGCTGTGTGACTCTAGGCAAGTCACCCCATTGCCTTGCCAAAAAATATTTTAAAAAAAAGAAATAAAAAAAGAAAGATGTGAATTAGAAGGGGATAAGTGCAAAAGTGCTTTGAAAGGTTTAAAAAAAGGAAGATAACGTTCAGCTGAAGGGAGCAGGGACACATGAGTTGGATCTTTAACAGAGGGAAGAATTTTAACATGTGAAGTTGGAGGTTGGGGGTGGGGGTATAATAATGGAGGGAATGTCCATTTCAGGCATGTATGACAGTCTGAACAAACTCCACACTCCTCCTCTAAGACTTTCTCTCATCTGTTCCCATGACCCAAGTCTTTTCCTCCTCCCTCCCTTTTCTCTCCATAACTGACAATTTGTATCCTTCCCAGGATCATTCTCCTCTCATTTGGACCCAGGTCTTATGATGACATAGTTTGGTTAAGGCAGTGATGACCCAGGCCAGAGACCAGCCATAATACCTTTCAAGTTCAACCACTTGATAGTAGAATTCAATTCGGTTCCATAGATAGTCCATTATTTATTATTATTATTTATATTTATCTGAGACAATAAGCAATCTTCAAAAGAAATTTTAGTCAGTGATGAAGTTAAGATGGCTTTAGTTCATTTTGTTTATTGGTGACTATCATACATTGCTCCTACCCAATCATTTGTGAGGCAAAAATGAGTTGATATTGCTGTTTGCCCAGACTTGTCATTTATAATCATTGTGACACCACCAGGAACCTTCCCGACCTACCCCCAAGGAAAAAGACAAAACCTGGGCGAATGACTCATCATACCAATGTAAGGAAGTGCTTGAATGCCCAGATGAAGTTTTAAAAAGAGATCTCATGGCTATTGACTCTAGGGTGTACCTTTCAGCCAGATTGTGCCAATGAGCAAAGTTTTGATTATAGAGGTTTTGTGTGTGTGTGTGTGTGTGTGTGTGTGTGTGTTAAGTTGAGTGGCCCAGGCCCCAAACCTACGTGACTTAGGTACAAGACGCCATTTGTATATCAAAGGTTGGGCCAGCCAGGAAGTGTCTAGTGGGATCTGTTTTTTGAGACACACTAGCCAGATGAGAGGGCTGAGTCAATGTGAGAAAGGCAGCGTCAGGGAGTCAGAGCATAAGAATCAGGACCCTTTTCTCAAAGGAAAGATAAGGGGATATCAGATGGAAACCTAGAAGGGGGAAGATAGAGAAGAGGGGTTCTGGCTGGCATTCAGGAGGGTAGGAGATACTTTCCCAGGTCATAGCCAAATGATCTAGGTGAGGCATCCTGAAAATGACCTTACTGGAAGATTGTAGCAGGAAAGCACCTACCTTGACTCACACCGCCCCACCCACCAACCTAATGCTAGTTTTCTCATCATCCCCATGATTCAATGAAGTCATGCATCACCATCTGGAGTAATAATAGTAACAGATAACATTTATATAGCCCTGCAAAATGCTTTGCCTATCTTATCTCTTTTGATCCTCACAACAATTCTGTGAGTTAGGTGCTATTATTAATCTCATTCTACAGATCAGAAAACTGAGTCTGAGAGAAATTAAGTGACTAACCCAGAGTCACTTAGCTGGTAAGTATCTGTGGCAGTATTTGAACTCAGGTCTTCCTGATTCCAAGTCCAGAACTTTAGCCATTGCACCACCTAGCTGACCCGAGGTTGGACTGAACTCCCTTTACTTTCATTCTCCACCTATGCAAATCCTTCCCCTTCTTCAAGACCTAATTCAGGTGTCCCCCTTTCCATGAAGATTTCCTGCCCATCCCCCACCCTTCACTACAAAAAATCATTTAACCTTTCTCCTAGCACTTAAATTGAGACTCTTACTTTTCCCGTTCTACTTTCTATCATAATTTTTTTGTGTTCATGTCAGAATCTCCCCATTAGTTTGTAAACTCCTTCAGGGCAGAGATTATTTAGTATTTCTATCTACAGCACCTAGCACAATATCCTATACAATGTAGATGTCTAATAAGTGTTTATGCAATTGATTTTAATAGAAAAAAAAGACCTGTCAGGGAAAAAAAAAATTCAGCATGGGCCAAGAAATACCAGGTTTCTAAATTTGCCTATCACTATTCCAACCTGGATAGAATCAGCATGCCACTGGGGAATGAGTTCTAGATTTGGGGTCCAAGGACCTGAGTTCAATTTCCATTTATGCACTTACTACCTTGTGACCTTGGGCAAGTTATTTAACTTTCAGGCCTCAGTTTCCTTATTTGTAAAATAAAGGGGTGAACTAAATGATCTCTCAGGTCCTTCCAGCTGTAAATCTTTGATCTGATCCTACAACTTAAATGCCAGCGTTGTCCTTACTGATACAGGCCACATATAGCTGGTCTGCAACCAAGCAAGAAGAAAGGATGTGTTTTTGGCTTCTCCACCCTCCAGGTGTAGGACACCTGTATTCAGCTTTTTTTTTTTTTTTTTTTTGTTAAGAGGAAGGCCTAATTATCTTGCTATTTTCTCTCTCATTATCCCAAGGTGCCTATTAAATGGATGGCTTTGGAATCGATTTTACACCGTATTTATACCCACCAAAGTGACGTCTGGAGCTATGGTGAGTCAAAATCATAGGTACTAATGAATTCAGACTGAGACTAAACTAGACTTTTCTGTTTGTTAATTTGTGTTACATGCTCTGTCATCCAAGTGTTATCGTTCAAGACAATGACTAATAATAACGTAATGGCTGCTGTCTATCTGATATACTAAGTAAACACAGAGAAAAAAATTGAAAATGACTGCTACCCAAAATGCCATTGGAGACACAGTTAAAAATGTCTTAAAGGTGACTGTGTGTGTGTTTGCTTGTGTGGGCATACACAGTCATGAATTTAGGAAGTATTTAAAAATAGATTCTTGAATACATTACATTCCATTGTTTAGACAGTAAAATTTGTAAGGTAAAAGATAAAAATGCAGAAGATGGGCTTTACCAGGAACCAAAGGGAGAGAGACTTCAATTTCAGTTTACCTGATCGCAGATGAATTTCCCAGAAGAGGAATGAGTTTCTGTGCAAGAATCATCTGATAGCCATTGTTGTTTAGTGAATCAGGACTTTTTTCATTTAGGAATCAGTGAAAACTAATTTATACTTAATGAGAGATGGAATTTTCTGGCCACTTCTTTTGTCCAAGCAAAATTTTCCAGTTATCCCTGGGGATAGAATCAAGAAAGTGACATATTAGAGCTCTTTACTTGTAGTCAGTAGAAGTAGGTCCAAACTCCAGCCCTGCAAAAAGCACTGGACTGGCAGTCAGGAACACCTGGGTTCAAATCCTGCCTCAGACTCTTAGCAGCTGTGTGACTCTTGGCGAGTTATTTAACCTCTCTTTACCATTCAAAATAATGGGGGAGGGGGGCAAGGGGGAAGTTTGGAATTTCACTTGATGGCCTTAAATATAGGTCTAGATAGATCTGATTCTATCACTTTACTTTGTATCTCCGTTTCCTCTTCTGTAAAAATGAAAGTGACACCTGAAGTCCCATCCATCTCTAAATTTATGTTCCTATGATTTCAGAGTGGGATGATCCTTCACAAGGCATCTAGTCTAAGATATACCTGAGGAGAAATCCTATACCACCTCAGCCAAGAATTCATTCACTGGCAATTTACTTGTATGGATGGGGGGAAAAAAGCATTACTATTCATGATTGTGTTACTACTAATAATAGTTAAGATTTACATAATGCTTTAAAGTTTGCAAAGCACTTAATGTGTATATGTGTGTATATATGTATGTTATGTATGTGTATATGTATCTGTGTGTGTGTGTGTGTGTGTGTGTATGTGTGTGATCTTGTTTAATCCTCACAACAAACCTCTGAGAAAAGTGCTGTTATTATCCCCATTTTAAGATGAGGATACAGAGACTGGAAGAGATTAAGTAATTTGCCCAGGTCATACAACATATAAGTGCCTGAGACAGATTTGAACTGAAGTTATAGATGTAAGACAGTTCAGGGATATATATATATGTGTGTATATATCTATATATATATATGTGTGTGTGTGTGTGTGTATCTATATATCTATATCTATATCTATATCTATATATATATATATATACACACACACACAACCATACATACATACATAGGCATACTTTGCCCCTTGGAACAGCTTTGGTCAAAAGGTAGATATGCAGAGGTATGGGGTGGTATTTGATAGGGAGGGAGTTGGATATATCTGTTGAACATGAAGTTTAGGGGACTGTTGTTACAATGTCTGACCTCAATTACTTTTTATAACTTAAAAACTGGGTGTTGTCACTTAGATATAAAAGATGGAGCTCTTCAATGCCTTGAGGCAGCTTAGACTATTTCAATGAATTGGGGCTCTGGCACAGACTGGTTATTCCCACCCCTTTCCTATCCAAAGCCCTCCCTCTTCCTCGGTCCCTTTCCTGGATTATGTTATCTTGGCTGGTTTATATCCAGGATTTAGGAAAGTCTATTTGTTCCCTCTGAGCCAGTACCCCCCATATCACTGACATTATCTAATGTTACCTCTTAAGACTCTATTGCTGGTGGAGGGAGCATGAGGGAACACTCACTTGGGGGTGTGTGTGTGTGTGTGTGTGTGTGTGTATGTGTGTGTGTGTGCCCAGCCCTGGCTTTTTTCTGGAATCTATGCAGTTCCATGGGCAAGAGTAGCTCCAACTCATTAGTCCAGGGGAAGACTCTTCCCCCATCACACCCCTTTCTTCCCACCTATACGCCCAACATCAATCCTGTGTCTGAGTCTGTTCCCATGCCAACCACCACACGTTTCAACAAGTCTAGTTTTCTCCACTTTATCATGAAACCCAAAGAGGAGATGTTGAGGCAGGTCATATTACAACATCTTCAAAGGGAGAGCGATCCAAACAGAAAAGATTAAAGGAAAAATGTACAATTCAGCCATTCAGCTTTCCAAAAAAGGAATCCCTGACTATGCGGTAACTTCTGGTTGTTGGGGTTTTTTTTCCCCAGGGTTGATGGGTTATGAAAAAGGGCACTGAGTATCAAACCATTTGAGGCAAAACCAATTTCCATTGTGCATTCCAAAGCCTGATTTCTTTTTTTTAAAATAGAATAAATTAAAAATGTAGATCAAGAAACAATGTTTTTTGCCTCCCTTTAAGCTCATGTGATTACATGGGGCATGGGGGAAAAAAAGCCAAATCCATTCCCCTACCCTTAAAGGATCACTTTCTTCAACCTGATTTACTAACCAAATTTACTTTCTGTTACGGTCTTTGGAAAATCCAGACAATTCTATGGCAAGGTTGTCCAGTGGGCAAGTCTGAAGACATTGTATTGTATGATTGACTGGGAGTCAGGAAAATTACTGTGTTCCTCTTTCAGACACTTGTTTTGAGAGAGAGAGAGAGAGAGAGAGAGAGAGAGAGAGAGAGAGAGTGTATGTGTGTGTGGTCTACTCTGGCTGCAAAAAAGGACAAGCCCTCATCTCCATGGCAAAGTATAAAGTATAGACATAGAAGAAAGAGCCATGGGAATCTTTTAGGTGACTGGAGAACAGGGATAATTACTGACTCCATAAATGACCATTTTCTTTTACTTTCTTCCCCTCCCCCAACTTCTGCAGGTGTCACAGTTTGGGAGCTGATGACATTTGGGTCCAAACCATATGATGGAATCCCTGCAAGTGAGATTTCATCTATTTTAGAGAAAGGGGAACGCCTTCCTCAACCACCCATCTGCACCATTGATGTCTACATGATCATGGTCAAATGTGAGTTGGATTGGTGTGGCTGCACACATCTCATTCAATTCCATTTTAATTTCATTTAAATGCAACAATCGTTTATTAAGTGTCTATTATTTGCAAAGTCTATGCTAAGTTCTGGGGATATAAAAACATTATAGTTCCTGCCTTTAAGGAGATTACATTCCACTGAGGGGCAAAGACATTCAGGTACATCAGCAAATACAAAAATACAGGGTGTCCCAAAAATTTTAGTGCAGTTTAAACTTTTAATAACTTAAAACTACAATAAGACTTTTGGGACAACCATAAGTTATTAAATATAACACAAATTATCATACAAAGTCATGAGGGATTGAAGGGAGCACTCACAGATTGGAAGATTAGGAGAGATATCATGTAGGAGATGATGCTCTTACATGTACAGTTACTTGCCTGTTGTCTCCTCCATTAGAACCTATGCTTCTTGAAAGCAGGGACAGTGGTTTTGCCTTTCTTTGTACCCCTCACTCTTAGCACAGAACCTGGCATGTAATAAATACTTAGTAAATGCCTGTTGACTGACAAAAGAGAATTAAGGATTCCAGGAGGCAGAGATAAAGAGGGAAATTATTCTGGGCTTGAAATTCAGATGGTACAAAGTCATGGAAGTGGGAAATGGAATGTCATATATAATGAACAGTCTAAGTTGGATATAGATTGTAGAGCACATGAGGGGTTATATCAAGCTGAAACTGGCCAGACTATACCATGGAGCTAGAAGGCCTTTGTGTGATAGAAAGGACTTGGCTGTTATGATACCCTTGTGTTAGACAGAAATTCCAAGGGGGAGGAGTTGAGCAGTGGAGTTTGTCTATGTAGAAATCCTGGAATAATTTCCAATTAAGAGACAGCCCCAGAAACTCATATAAATATGTCCTTTAACCATTATTCTGAAGGCTAAAGTCTGACTCATTGAACAATGTGACCTGACACTTGTCTGGGTTTGAAAGTCTATAAATAAACTAAAGCCCAGCTTGTACCATAGCAGGAACAGTTCCTGTTGGCTCAACCACTTAATGGAATCCCAAACCACTGGGAATTCATTTGGAGGCCTGTTTCCACAGAGACTGGGTGGCTCAAAAAAAAAAAAAATTTTTTTTTTTAAACCTAAGACTAGATAACCACATACAGCTGTTGGAAGCTCCCTTTCTATTTGGGATCAGGCCCAGTACACAGTGAGTTTATGGGAAGATAACTCCCACTTTGTTGAATTTAAATATTTCCCAAAGTCAAGCCTAGATGAAAGAAATTACCCCAATAACATCATCCTTGGAGCAAACTCTGAAGAGCCAACTCTACATGTCGTGGAAGCCGGTACTAGATAGTGTAATGAACATCACCTGGCCATGCTAATGTCAATATGGATGATTTTGCTTGGTGGTGATGGCAGATCATATGTGGCATACGTGGGTGTTTACTAAAGTGCAGTAAACACACCCTGATGGGAAGAAGCTTGCTGCTTTTCTGCCTTGTAGTTTGATTCCAATGTTTACTCCCTAGATCTGCCAAGACAGTGGTATTACAAATAGCCATGTGATTTCTAGTCTTTTTTTCTGGGCCTCTTTTTTGTTTGCTTCGTTGTTGTTTTTTAAAAGAGAGCTTCCCAGGAACTATGATATCTACTAGGTTAACGTTAGCTGTACAAGGAAGTAGTTTCCTATTTAGATGAAACTGTTCAACACAAATACTGCTAAAGATAAGGAAAGAAATTATAGTGACCACATCTGACAAGGGATTAAAATGTTTTGCATTGCCACAAGAAGCTAGCTGTCTTTTCCTCTAGCTCTTGATGTATTTGTAATCAATCTTCTCCAGGGCTTCTTAACCCTGTAAACTGTTTTTCGTTTTTTTGTTTTTTTGGGGGGGTAACTATATTTTTTCCCCTTTTTTATTGCTAAAACTTAAATACACAATAAGAAAAAAAGAAACATATTTTAAACATAGTGAAACTTAAATACAAAATAAGAAAAGGGGAAAAAAGCATGTCATATACACAGCAAAACATGAGAGGATTCAAAATATGTAGCAATAAATTTCCATTTCAAGAAAGCCTATATAATAAATACTACATGTCGTATGGAGAGCTGTCCATCTTTTCTTTGCTTCTTTTTGAGTTTTCTTTTGTTCTCTGCTGTATACTTTTTACTTTGTTCTATTTTCCCCCTTACTCCTCCAAGAAGGCCACAATTAAGTGTGGATATATTTATGTGTAGATATAGATATATACATACCTATATACATATATATATATATACATACATATATGTATACATTCATGTGTGTGTGTGTGTGTATATATATATATTTGTACATATATAGACATATACTTCTCTAACAAATTCTACTTCTGATCCTTGTTTGTAACTATATTTCTACATAATTGGTTTCCTTCATGATCATATGTATTCTCTGTTTAAAAGCATTTTTCTGAAAAGAGATCCCCAGACTTTACCAGATTGCCAAAGGGGTCCGTGACAAAAAAAGCATTAAGAAGCCTTCTTTCTGCTTCAACAGTAGATCAAATAAAGAAGGCCAAGTCTAGTACATAGGGATCATAGATACAGAACTGAAAGGAAATTTACAGGTCATACAATCCAATGCCTCAATTTGAAGAAACAGAGGCCTAGAGAGGATAATTAACTTGTGCAAGGTTTCCAGTCAGGAAGTGATGGAACCTGGGTTCAAACTAAGGTCTTGTGGCTCCAAATTCAGATCAAATAGCTTGAAATTCCTGTTACCTAAGCAGAAGTGCAAACTCACTGGGGGTGTTAATGTTTCAGTCTAAAATTTTAGATTGCTTAATGTTATTGTTATGCATATGTGGAGGGGGGCCAGGGTGGTTCTATTCATCTTGTAACAGAGAAATCAAAAGAGCAAAACTCTCATTTCCCTGAAACAATCTGCATTATTGCATAATATCCATTAAACAATGGAAGATTCAAGCCAGGGGATTTCCCACAATGATTGACCTAGTAAGTCAGTAGCCAAGCCAGGGTTCAAACCTAAGTCCTCAGTCATGGCTTCTCTGACAGAGCCTTAGTGCCCCAAGGCATTGTAGTAGGCTCCAAAAAGTATCCTAGAACCCTAGAATGCTTAGGGTTGTAAGGGATCCTGGAGCTCATGGAATCCAACTCTCTCATTTTTCAGATGAGGAAAATGAGTCTCAGAGAAGCTAAACTACTTGCACAGGATTACCCAGGTAGTGGCAAAGCCTTGATTTGAATCAAGGTTGAGTGAGTCCAAGTTCAGTACAAATAACTTGACAGCCGTCCTATTGACTAAACAGAAAAGCACCACTTGAGGCACTAAGATTTCATTTCAGAGCTCTTGAGTCAATTAACATTATAGCATTGCACACAGCCTATGCTAGTCAGCAGGTGGTGGGGCCAGGATTAAAAATCTCACCTTTTAACAAAGAGATCAAAAAAGCAAAATCTTCCATCTTTCCTGAGATGCATTATTATATAATATCCAGGATAGTGCAGGAAAGTGCAGGGCAGGGGGTTCCCCAAACCCAAGATCCTTGTAGCCCTCATATTTCACTAACTTGAAACTGTGAGAGGAGCAAATCTGATCTTCTCCAAAGACCACAGTGCATGTGTACGAAGGGTTTTGCTAGAATAGAAAATGATTTGGGATCTTTGTAGCGTGCTGAGTCTGGGAAACTCTTCTGTTTTGCTCAAGAGTACAAATTATTAATGTTAACTCCAAGAAGAAGTTGAAGGACAATGAGTAATCATTTATTCAATTAATTAACCAACAAGCATTTATTAAGCATTTGCCACTGCCAGGCACTGTTGTAAGCATCGGAGATAAAAAGACAGAAGTAACAAATGTCATTATAAAAGAATTATACTTTCTTCAATACTTCATGGCCCCATGATCCCATCAGTTCAGATAATGACCTGAGCACATGGTGTTCTTGAGTTACTGCAGCCATAAAGAGACCATCTCCAGTGACTAATATTTTGATGGTAAGCCTCTCTCTTAGCTAAGCTGATCTAACTTTTTTTTGTTGTTGTTGACAGCTCATTTAACCTCTCTGATCTTTACTTTCCTCATCTGTATAATAATAGGAATGATGATCTTCAAGATTCCTGGGATAACATCCTTCTTTCTCAGAAAGTTGACTCCCAATCCATTGTCATACTCATACTAGAAACTTTTCTGGTTTGGTAGGAGTTGTATTCCACTAGCATAGCCTTTCAGAATCCAATGTCACCTTTACCTTGATGAAGCATTGGAGAAGGGCTTTAGTGGAGGTAGAAAAATTCACCCCATAACAGTCTTTTGACTAAACAGGGATCTGTGCTCATCGGTCAGACCTGAAGTATTCATTCTGAAAAACAGTAAATATGAATTGTTTGGAATCTCTGAGGTTAATTGAACTAAAATGTGCTTCCCTTGTGTTGTTTAAAAATAACCAAATTTAATTTTCCTCCCCAATGTTTAACTACATTGCTTTATTTTACTGCTGTTTTTTGTTTTTGTTTTGTTTTGCTTTTCCAGGCTGGATGATAGATGCTGACAGTCGCCCCAAGTTTCGTGAGTTAATTGTAGAATTTTCTAAAATGGCCCGTGATCCCCAGCGCTACCTTGTTATACAGGTAATGACTTTTTGTGCTCAAGTTTTGCTCAGCTGGAAAACTTCTTTAATGAGAATCAAATCAAGGGACAGAAAATCATTCTCTTCAACATAAAATATATGTAACCCTGTTATTGTCTAACTGCTTGTGGATTGGGGATATACATAAAATATATGTCATGTGGAACATGTAAATTTAACCTGGAATTGGAACAGGAGAAGGAGAAGACACTGGATTTCCTTTGACAATTTATGAAATTCTTTTAATGACCCCATATTTCTCTCAGAAACAGAAAGCTCGTATTTTTCATGACCATATTTATCCAGTGTTGCTGTGTAGCCAAGAGTTATGAAACTTTGCAGTAACCAAAAATTGAACATTAGTATCACACAGAGGGTGTTGGAGGGGCCCAGGAGAGGTGGAAAGAGACTATAATACAGTACAAACAAGGAAAACAGGAATAAAGGATATGGGAGGGGATGAAACAAAAAAAGGCTGGCCTTATATTAAGAGCAAGGAACAACCAATGGGCAGGCTGAGTTTTCCATAGGTAGCCTCCTAGTGTTAAGAGAAAATTAAGATGACCCCCAGGACATTGAATGGACCCTCTGAGATGAACTTATAGGACATGAGTCTAACAGGATGAGCAAGCACGGGTAGGTTGTAATCTGTATCACTGGAGGGAACATTCACATCAATCCATTGGAGTACTTGGACAACACCATTGTTGGACAACACTCAGAAACGATGGGATATCATGTCATTAGCCCAAATACCAGAATTGTAAAGAGATTCCATTGTGCTTACCCTGTGTCTGTATATGTGGAAAACTATGCTGGACACAATTAAAAGGAAAAGGAAAGATGCAGTCCTTGTTCTAAGCCTTTGAAAATATCTCCCGTCATCTAGGGGGCCGTTTGGAATCATCATCATCATCACTTCTAGTATTATTTTCCATTGGCAGAATTCCACATTTATGATGTATTTGTAAAATAGAACAAATCACAAAGAACACTAAATGTAAGGTCACTGGCCTGAAGTACAGTCCCATCTCTGCCACTATGACCTAGAACAAGTCACTTATCTCTGGGCCTCATTTTCTTTCTTTGTAAAAGTCAAGGATTGAGATAAATAACTACTTAGGTACCTTCTCACTCTAAAATCCTTTAATATGTTGACCTTTACACTTTTTGCACTATCGATAGCTCATTTAACTTATCTGGACTTCAGTTTCCTCCTCTGTAGAACAACAGAATTGGACTGCTTGTCTGAAAGGTCTTTACCAACTGTGGGATAACCTTCTTTCTTACTGTAAGCAGAGGGTGATCTATCTGCCACTTTGGCTGATTATAAAACTTGGATTTGAGTCTTGGCTGCCTCTCACTAATTCTCTCACTTTACTTCTCAGGGCCTCAGTTTCCCAATATGTAAAATGAGAGGTTTCTTTGAACTTCTTAAGGTGGCCTATCATTCTCTGAGCCATCTACATTCCAATTAATGGCAATTAAATTAAAGCCAAAGCATGACTAAAAATGCCTCTCTTTCTGGTTTTTAACTTTAACTTCACTTAGATCCCTTTGAGATGAGAGATAGTGCTCTGAGTACATGAGTCTAAATCTACTGATGGGAAAATAACCTTGCAAATTTACCAGTTCAGAAAAAATTCCAGTCTGCTCCTTTACTAAGAATCAAACTGGTAATGAAATAAATCAATCTTGTTTATAATATGTAGGCCTAGAACCTATAGGTTTTTTATTTTAAATGAGAGGGTAAATGAGTCCCAACAAAAATTTAAGAACAGATAGTACTAGATTCCAATTCAGAAAATGTTGTATATGTGATGTGGTGGCCCTTGGCAATGCCAGGATTTCAGTGTCCCCCCCCCCCAATTTTCCCAATCAAAGCATTAACTCTAATGCCCAGTGGCAGTACCAAGTCTGGAGTCAGCCCCAGGCCTGATTGAAAAGTGGATGAAGTTTATGTTTTCACTCTCTTTGGGTTGCCCCTTCCCTCTTCTTTCTCCTCCTGATGTTACCCTGAAGGAATTCATTCACTCTCCCCAGGACCTAACCTAAATCTCGTTCCTATTATACTTTTTCTCAGCTAGTCTCCACTAAAATGTCATTGTATAGACTTAAGATCATAGGATAATAGATTTAGAACTGGAAGGAAACTTAGAAGGCATTTATTTAGTGCAGCCACCCCCTTTGCCAATGACAAAATTGAAGTTTAAGATATTGCCTTTCTCAGAATAATTTTCATTTTAATAGCAAATGCTTAAGGACTAAAAAGTCTTTCAGACCCAAAGAAATGAATCTGTAATGGTAGAATTTGGGGTGGCATGGCAAGTAGGGTTGAAACTATTTTAAAGCACAGGATGATGGGATCCTGCCCAGTGTTCTGCGCCATGTAGGTGGCCAACCTCTACCACTCGTAAAACCAGCCTTTAGGTTTACATGAACTAAAACCAAAATAGGTAACCATTGTCCCATATGTACCCCAAAGAGGCATTATATTTATATTTTTTTCTAGCCAAAATGTAGCCTCATATGAAGTCAATATAGCCCAGATAATAATAGTATGTAAAGTGCTCTTCCTTACAGGATCCCCTTTTCTTTGGCAGGGAGATGAAAGAATGCACTTACCAAGCCCCACGGACTCCAAATTTTATCGCACCCTTATGGAAGAAGAGGATATGGAAGATATCGTAGATGCAGATGAGTACCTTATTCCACAGCAAGGATTCTTCAACAGCCCCTCCACATCTCGCACGCCTCTCCTAAGCTCTCTGGTAAAAAGCCACATCCATGGTGTCACCACACACAAACCTGCTTGAATGAATCCCATTTACAAAAAAAGAAAACATTCAAGCAACTAGGCATCATTTGGTTTTTTTCTCTAAATTACCAGTTTAAAAGAATTTTTTCCTTGTTCAACATAATTTTGGTGTTTTATAACCATAGCTTTACATATAGAAATGTGGACCAGACCATTGGTTTCATGGGGATGGGCAACTCTCAGGTGACAAAACTCCTTTACCATTGCAATGCCAACCTCTGCAATTTTGAGTCTTAGCTGCCTGTAGCAATGAGTGATTAAGTGACTTGTCCAAGGTCACACAACCAATGTCTGTCCTAGGCAAGACCCAGGTCTTTCTGGCTTTGAGATGGCCTCTCTCTCCCACTGCTATGGAACTGCATCTCCAAATAGGGCCTTACCTATAAAGCAAGTATTTCAATATTTCCATCCTCATTATATGTGGAATTTATAAAGCATTTAATTTAGTACTTTTACATGTCTATAGTATATATACTATATTGGTATGCAGGTGTATGTATAGAAGTGCTTATAGATGTGTGTGTAGGCATGTGTATAAATGTTCAAAATCAATCAATCACCAAGCATTTATTAAACATATACCAGACACCTTGCTAGGCACTGGCAAAACAATCTATGCCCCAAAGAGCACCTTCTAGTTTTTATTCTTTTGGGGGAGGGAAGGAAGCCATTACCTAATAAGAGTGAATCCCATAGATTTGCTAAATCCCAAATTCAGACATTAATTTCTAACTCAATTGTAAAAACTCAACTAAAACTTGGTGAAAATCAATTCCAATACCAGAACCCAACTTCTGTGTTTCCTAAAACTCCCAAGACAAAAAAAAAAAGACCATTTTAGAACCTCACCCCCCTGCTCTTTCTGGTGGAACAGAGCAATGGGGATGAGGCACTCCTGAGCTGAGCTTTGGCAGGCAGCTTAGGATTTCCTGACAGTGATGGGACTGTCTGATGTGTATATTCTAAAAGAAATTTCTAAATTTCTCTTTCAGAGTGCTACCAGCAATAATTCTGCCACAGTATGCATTGATAGAAATGGGGTAAGTCAGACTACACACTAACCCACTGTTGTCCTTTTCCTGTACTGTATCTTTGAAACCAGATAATCTTGTTTTTATAGTTCCTTCTGAACCTTTCTTCTTGTATTTCCCCTATTCACACCAATGAAATCAAGGATCCATAAAATGTTGAAAGATGTTTTCTCCAGTCAGTGTCATAAGCAGCCAGTTGATGGGCATAGAGTTGGGCTGCATTGTTTTCTTTCTTGCTGTAATGATATGTCTACTTTCGTTCCTCTGCCAGCAGGTTTGCCCTGTGAAGGAAGAAAGCTTTATCCAGAGATACAGTTCTGATCCCACTACTGTCTTACTTGAAGACAATGTGGATGATAGCTTCCAGCCTGTACCAGGTGAGTGTATTTGTAGTCAATAGATTCATTGCTATCCTGCATGCCCTTAAAAACCAGCAACCAGTTTCACTTGATTCTTATCGATATCTGTTACAGAACGCAAAGCTGTAACTAGAATGGAGTGACCAGGGCTTTGACTTGGGAGTGCCATTGTCTCTGAGGGGATACCCTATAGTGACTTCTGTCCTTCTATTTTGTGATCCCTCATGAGACCAGAGAGGTACATGAGTACAAGTGCCAATGCCCACCATCCCCATGGTAACCCTCTCTCTGCATCCACCTTCCCCTCACACTCTTACAGATTACCAACAGGACTTTTTGGGAACACACCCCATTACCTACCCCTCATCATCTGAATTTGCCCTAAATACAAGATTTTCTAGTTGTGACTCTGATAGGGTATTTTTCTACCTTTTGTCTCAAGAGTGCTGATACAGAGTCCAAAATATTCAGTTTGTTTCATGAAAATTTTTGAAGAGATATTAAAACATAAGAATTTGGGCTTGCACATAAAGCATTATGTAGTGGGAAAAGCACTGGACTAGGAAAGGAGAGACCTGGTTTTAATCCTCATTTCCACACATTTCTAGCTGTATAAATGTGAAGTGTCTTAAATTCTCTTTGTTCCAGATGCAAAATGGGGATTATATCTTCCCTGTCTAATGCCCAAGAGCAAGGCTAGATAATCTTTTCAGGTCTCTCCCCTTGCTCTAGCTTGAAGATAATCTGTTTCTATGTAAACATGTGATAGATGAATTTTAATGAAGCTTTTATATTGAATTTAACTGATTGACTGATTGTTGACTATATTGTTTCATCTGAGCGTCTGCAGACTGGCTATGGTGAGACCCAAACAACTAATCAAGACAAATAATTGGCAGCCCTGAGCTGTTTCTCTGTTCTAACTCCATTCTAGACCTCAGGGATACTTCCAGAACTAACTAGTTATAGCCTCTTAGCCCCATTTCCACTCTGCCACATTCTTCCCCCTGAATCATAATCTCTTCAATTCTGTAGTGACGTATGATTTCCAAAGAGCCATGACCTCATCTTAACTTCTTAGTCTAGCCCTCTATCTATTACACCAATCAGTGAAGAGCAAAGAGGAAAAATGGAATGTAGAGTTGAGTTAAAGAAGAGAAGTGTTCTCTCCAGGATTTCCCCATATTCCTCCTACTTCGGCGTCACTAGTTACCTGGAGAAAAAATTGACCAGAGAAGGCCACGTATACCTAACTTGACTCATGAAATTCCTTCCCCATTTCTTTTTAATTCTAGAATATATAAACCAATCGGCTCCCAAAAACCACACGGGCTCTGCCATCCAGAACCCTGTCTATCACAACCAACCTTTCAACCCAGATGCCTCTAAAGACTCTCTGTACCAAAACTCACACAACAGCAGTGCAGTGGACAACCCCGAGTATCTCAACACAACTCAGCCCAACTTGATCAAAAAAGCCTTCGACAGCAATTCCTGCTGGAACCCGACAGCCAACCACCCAATCAGTCTGGACAACCCTGACTACCAGCAGGACTTCTTCCCCCAGGAAGCCAAGCCAAATGGGGTTTTTAAAGTTCCTGCCGCAGAAAATCCTGAGTACCTCAGGGTAGCAGCACAACAAAGTGAATTCATTCAAGCTTCAGCATGACCCTTTGCCAAAAGCCTTCCCTCCCTCCCTCCCTCATGCAGCCATGGAATCTAGCTGCCCCAGGACTGAGCTATGGACAGCAAAGGCAGCAATCATGCGATGTAGCCACTCACTCACACCTTTCCTTTCAAGCCTACGGGCCAGACATTGCCACAATTGGCTTTAATTTCCTTTGGTACGATCCGGGGCCTGTCTTCCGTTGGAATTGTCCCCCTTCCTGGGCATATAATGGAGTCAATCCCAGGCAGATTTCCTGCAAGTGCATTCCTTCATCTTTAATCTGTGAGACTTCCCAAATCAAGAGCAAGATGCCCAGGAAGCATATTTTTCCGTTTGTACAGAAGTTAATTGTTTTTTTTTTTTCTACACCATACATTTGAAAAAATAATAATAATGTTTGTAAGTATTTTTTTCTTACAAGATCCCATTGGCACGTTCATGAGAGAGATGATTATTGACTATAACATGCACTACCCTGAAGGGACCCAGACTGGACTGAGTCAAAGACGCATATGATGAAAGAAAATGAGCTTTACGCTCTTCGGACTCAGCCGACTTAACAGTTCATCCCATGGGCTTTGTCCTTCTTTACATGCCAAAGGCCGAGAAAGAACATTTCTTGGTTGGCGCAGCATCAGCTCGCGACGAAAAAGAGAAACAGACCAGCCTATGTCATGCTGGCCACAAGAGTTACAGAAACCAAGTGGAGGAAGTCTCTCCCTACGCTTCATTGTAAATGTGCCCACGGTACTTCAAACTGTTTTTTTTTTAAGTGTTTTCTGATTATGAATACTCATCTGATTCTTTTCTTTTTCATTTCGTGTCTTTGCAACTACACTTGTTAAAATGTTTTCCCTCAATGCTTCTATTATGGAGTGGAGGGTGGGGGTGTTGGGGAGGGAGTAAAGACACTAAAACAAAACAGCCAAAGCTGCTGCTCTCTTTTTACTCACCCTCATTTGGACAAAGGGCCTTTCTTTAAGATGGGATGAAAATGCAGAAGTTTGCAAGCCCAAGCAAAGAACTTAAGTCTCAGGTGAATCTACACCAAACCTAAAAGTGTTTACCTAAACACTAAAATGAATAGAAACCTAAAAATGAAGATATCCAAAGGGGGGAAAAATTGAAATTGTTCTCTATTTCTAAACACTCCCTTAGTTAACCCATGAAAATTGGGCCTTAACGGTTTTTAGATTTTTTTAAAAGAAAATTTAATGAATAAGCTATTTTATTCGCTACCAAAAACATTCTCTAGTGTGTTTTCCCCAAAATCCTTTCCTTGCCCCCTTTTCAGGTTACAAAAGATGGGCTAGATCCTGTGGAAAAACTATAGTGTCTTACAACTCAATATGTGTGTGTGTGTGGCTCTACTTTTCATAAAAGAAATGCGGAGGCAATAATTGAGAGGTTGCAATAAAAATCCTAAATATTAAATGGTGAATTTGAAGTTAATGGCTGTGTTTCCACAAAAGTCCACAAATATTTTTTGAAAGGGTGGGGGGGAGGTAGAGATGAGAATTTAAGGTTTGTGAAGATGCCCAAAATGTTTTCGTTTAAAAAGGGAGGATTGTGCAATGTTAAGACAGATAAACAGGTTGGACTAGTTTTTCAAATGTTTGAAGCTCCCATCCCACCTTATCAACTAAAGACACTCAATGATTGGCAGATAAATCCCACCAGAACACCAAGTGTGTAGAGAGAGCCCATCAAAATATAATGCCAAACCAGTACCCACAGAGCAGCTTTCCAGACACTGAATTAATTCAGAGGCCCTGGTGTTGAAAGCATGTAAATGGTGCACCCGTGAAAATATGGGCTTGCCCTAGAAAATGTTTCTTCTGTTACTTTCAAGATAATGGGTGCTCCAAAGAGAGTTTCTAACAAAAAAAGTTTGAGTCCGTGTTGAAATGAAGTCAGTGTTTCTTTTGTTTTCTAACTACTAGGTAGCCATGTGTCTGAGTCAGACCTCAACACTGCAGGCAGAAATACAATTTTATGTTATCTGTTTTAGGCAAGAGGTTTTTTTAGTTTGATAGTTATACTTATAGATTCCCAGAGTTCTCTGGATAACTTTCATCCATCATGTTTTACTTTTTTTTTTTTATGGAAAAATGAATCAGTATTTACAAGAAAAGGTAATCTTAAGGCCTCATTGATAGATTTTTTTTTTCATCATTTCATCATTCTTGTCAAGAAAAGCATTTTACCCTGTGGTCCTATTATTAACTGAGTACTTCATACAATCCTTTCTCTAACTTGTGAAGAAACCAGTAACTGTTGGGGAAAAAAAGAGCTGAAATTCAGATGAAATGTAGCAATGAAAAAGTAAGATGGATTTTTTTTTTACATTTCTTCTTAGCATATACTGTAGCAACCTCAACTAATAAATTTAGAAATTCATCAGAATTTAGAATTCTCCAGCATTAAATCTAGTTGAGATACTCCAGAGAATTTTAAGTTGTGTATGTTTGAATGATTTTGCAGAGAGTAAACCTAATTTGATGGAACTAAACAGAACCTCTTAACTCCAAGCTTCTAGCCATAAAATATTCTACCATTCGGTACAGGATCTGCTGTTACATATGTCAGTCATGGGGAATTGGAAGGTGGGGCATGAAATTCCGTTTTAATGGTGAGGGGGGCTTGTTGACATTTAAAATATAAATGTAAAATTGTGCTAGTTCTCACAGAAACCAAACCACTGATCTTGTCATTCATTTTAACAAAAATATCTATCAGATCAATAGATGGTTTCAGACCTGATTAAGGGTACGAGGACTTTAATATATATAGCATTAAAAAGCAGTTAACATAGATTGCACGTTGCTTTAAATCATATACTATCAGCAGGGGGAGTCATAACTAGGATGGAAAAATCCAAGGTTTTATTCTAGGAATGAAATTTAAAAGATGCTCATAAGATCTGCAGTCCTTCAACAACCTAGAGAAACAAAGTTTGCCACCTAGTTAATAACAATTATTTATTAAAATAGGAAGATGCCTGTAAGTGGGATAGCTAGGGTGAGGTTGTCCACCCCACTCTGTTCCCTAACAATGTCTCCATGTTTCAATATCCCAAACAGGGGCTATGAGTATTGCCTTAGGGTCTTTATATCCCCTTCAATAAGATAGACTTCTCCTGAATGAGGGGACACATCTTTCTACTAACCTAGATGAAGTTTATAGTACTTCACTGGGGCACAAAAAAGAATCCTGGTTATAACTCTGATTAGCATTATTAAATTCGTCATGCTTCTTCACATAAAGACGATGAAAATCCATTTCATCACCCATAAAATGAAGAGGTTGGGCCACATGACCTCTAAGGTCCCTTCTAACTCTAAGAATCTATGTGCCAAGGTCTCTTACAATTCTGACAATCTATAGACTATGAACATGTCGAAAGCCTTGATTAAACAGATTTGAAAAAAAAAGTTAATAATTGGAGACATTGTTAATAATTGGAGAAGACATTTTCAAAAGATTTTTCCAAACACATTTGAAGGTCTGGTTTAAAAATGACCCAAGAAAGACTGAATTTCATGTTGCTCACCCAAGTGAAAGCCAATCATAGAACTGGACATCTCCCCCGCTCCCATCCCCCACCAATACCACTACTTTGTCATTGTAGGGATGATGCTAAAATTGATTCCCGTGGTTGTTGTACTGGAGTTACTAATAGGCAAAAGCTAAGATATTTGGGACCCTATTTAGAAGGAGGGGAGCGGTCACTGTTGTTTCCTAGCGCTTTTAGAAGAATCTAGAAAGTGTGTTAATCCAAACAGTCATGGCTTTAAGCAACTATTAGAAAATGCAGGTGCGGAAAGCAGTTAATAGAAATGCCAATGCCTCGTGACCAGCTCCGTTGCCAGCTTGATTTCCCAAAGACAAAGAGACTCGCTTAGAGGATTTTTCTTTGTAAGCTAAACCATGTAGTGGGAAGCCGACAGCTGGCACTGAGGTGATTTCATTTCTACAGGGTGAGACTCAGCCCAATTACCTAATTCTTAAGCATTTTCTGCCCCCATCAAGAATGAGTAGAACAATGTCGTTTGGACTCAATGGGTCCAAAATCCTGAGAAAGGTCATCCCACTGAGATTCTGCTGGATTGGGGTTGAAATTGGACAACCCAACCTCAAACTTTTAAAATCAGTGGCTGGCCCTTAAGTCACAATGCCAGATGCTCCTTATGCTTCAGCTAATTCTTTCGGATTGACAAAGACAGTCTTAAGAGTTTTTCAAGTTTTCAAAGGGTCAAGCTTACATCTTCCAGTGCCTTCACTTATTCTCTTGCCTTGAATGTTCAATTCCTCATTCAATTTCCTTGAATGTTCTTACCCTCAATGTTCAACCTTTTTACTGTTTGAATATCACACCCCAACCTGATCAGATCTGAAAGGTTGACACCATTCCATCCGTTATACCTCTCTTCTGTCATATCCATTGAGGTATTGACATAGAAAATACCCCAAAAAGGTGTGTATTTCATTAGTAGTGTCTTCATTTGTCATTTCAGTTAACATTATTTTCCCATGACTGCAGTTTCAGTTTCTTCCTCTGGAAACATAGGGTCCAAAGAATGAGGAAGGTCTTGTAGATGGGTGCTAGCCTCCTTAGCCCACATGGTTGTGGTTTCCCACCAGGTCTGCTATGAAAGTTATGCCAGATTCCCATAAGTCATACCCCATCCCCCACCCCACGGCTTCAGGCGCTTGTCAGATTAAACCTGTGGTAAGCCTCATCCTGCTTTAACTGGATGTATCCAGGCACTTTCCTCTCACTGAATTTACTTAAGAACCTATGATTCTATTCTGATGTCATGTTGAGAAGGGTCTTACAAGATGTTCATATATGAAAATTAGTCCTTTCACCCCATATTCTTGGCAATGTACTTTCACTATTGAATGTGACTAGCTTCCCCCCACCCCAGAGGCCAAGAATGCAAAATGTAGCAGAATTTGAGTCTAGGGACTGGGGATCTTATTCTAGTAACTTGTATGTCCTTGGTCAAGTCATTTCACTTATGGATCATAGTTCATTCATCTACAAAATAACAACTATCATAATATAGAAATCTATGGTATCCAACCATAGTTTCACCTCTACTCCCAAAATCAGGGTGGTCTAAAAGACATTGACCATAATAGGAGAATTCATTAACTGGATCAGGCCATTGTTTATGCTGGTATATGGATTTATCAGAAATATTTGTTCCTAGCTTGCTGGCCTTTTATTGCCATGATTTTATCCTATGGTTGGTCATTGGAATTTCTAATTTGTAGGAATCCACCTATGTACTTCCAGGTTGGGCACATAGTACAGATATCTCTGGTGCAGTAATAATGATAATAATAATATTTGGCATTTACATAGCACTTTAAAGTTTGCAAAGCACAAGAGAAAAAGAGATGGGTAGGAATTAAGCCAGTGATTTTATTAGTATAAGGTATTCTCTTCACCAGTGCAGATTAGCACCTTCCTCTGCCATTTAAAGTTAAAAATGAGTCTTTTGAGAAGTTAAGTGACTAGCTCAGGGCCACCTAGCCAGTGGGTGTCAGTGTGTCAGATGGGACTTGAATCCAGGGCATCCTGACTTTGAGGCCAGCTCTCTTATCTCTCATACCACAGTGAGATTTGTGTTTGTGAATGCACGCGCAGCTGGTATTTGGACCTTACAAGAACCCTGTGGCGTAGTTACCAAATGTTTTATTATCTTTTACAAATGAGAGTCAGAGAGATAGAGATTTGTTCACGATGACACAGCTATCAGCTAGTAAATGTTTGAAGTAAGATTTGAACCCAGCTCTTGGGATGCCAAAGCCATCACTCTATCTACTATACCACTCTATTTCTGCTTTATGGATATCTACTCTATCCACTACACCATGTTATTTGTAATTGCTAGTATCCTTTAAATCTTCACATAACACTTCAGTGTGAATCTGATGGGAGATTAGAGTGATTTACTTGGCAAGACAATTAGGTGACTCTAACTGGGACTTCATTGGGGAAGTGATGAGATTAAGCACTTTGATATTGTGTATTTCCTGGTGCACAAATGCAAAAAAAAAAATACATAAGCTCCATTTCTCTGATGGCTGTTGAGATTGACCTGGATTTCTCTTTTAATTTTTTTCTCCTTTGGCTTATTTAGTGAGTAAATGTCATTGCAACAGGATACTATCCCGTTGTACCTTAATGTAATTTAAGTACATGGAAGAAAAATGGACCATTTGGGAAAACTGTGTATATTTTTACTACCAATGCTCTTGTTTAAGGCACATGACTTTTTTACACTATTAGAAGTTACCTCCTACGCAGGTTTCTTCTACCAGAATCTTATTTTTCTAACTTTGCCAATACAAAGAAAGAAAGGCTACCATTGAGAAGACACTTGAAATTTTAGGAATTTTTGTTTGTTCTTTGTTTTTAGAAAATCTATTTTTTGTGAGAAGAAAAACAACTATTAATAGACCCCAAAGGGCTGCAATCATCCCCAAAAGATTAATAATAATTCACATTTATTTAGCACTTTACAGCTTGCTAACTACTTTCCTCACAGCAATCCTATGAAATAGGTCTTGCAAGGATGGTTATCCCCTTTTTTTCTTGATTAAGAAAGTGAGGCTCTGAGAATTTAAATGACTTGTCCATGAGGACATAGATGGAAAGTGTTTCAGGTAGGACTTGAACACAGATAACCCCTTGCCAGTGGTCTATTCAGTATCCCACTTTCTTTAAGTGAATCAATCTCAGTTCTAGTATTTCTGTATTAGTGGAGATACGCGATTGATGGGGGCTCAGACCCAATTACCCATAGTGCAGAGGAGAAGGTTGATGCTACTTTTCAAAGTACAGTTTCCATCTCTAAGGTCTAGGGAAGTAATTACATTGGGCTTTAGCACTTCTGCCCGCTAGTCTGGGTTCAGCCCCATGGGTCAGCTGCACTTAAAATTTTTGTTCTTATTGAAGAGGGAGAAGTCCTAATGACACATGCTGTCATTTAATTTCTATGGCAGTATTTTAATAAAAAAAGAAAAATTCCATTCTCCAGTATCTCCACTCTCCCTTCCAAGAAAAAGTAATGTTACTATTGTAATGATTCCCTAGGGCTAAAGAATTATCACACCAACAAGAAAGTTTATGGCAAACATGTGTATATGTATATATGTGTGCATATATACATTATACATATAATTGTTATGCATAAATCAACAAAAATATAATGTATGGACAATTATGAGTGTTTCCCGATGAATAAAAAATGATTTTAAGTGAGTTCTAATTTGATGTCTAGCCCTTCAGAGGTCCTATTCATTTGAATTGAACACAGATTCTGCAGGTAAAGATACCGGGACCACATTAGCAGTTGTGCCCTCACAGGTAAAATAAAGACTTTGGACTGGATTGCTTTTTAGGGACTCTCCAACTGTAAATCATATTATTCTATGAACCTCAGTCCCAAGTCCCTCCAGGCGAGATTCCATTCATTCATCAAACACCTGCCATGCGCTGGGTCCTGTACTTAGCTCTGGGGATACAAAAACAACAACAACAAAAATGGTCCCTGCCTTCAAAAAGCTTCCATTTTACTACATCTGTACCCTGTTCCACAGGATCAGAAACCAGGATAGAAGCATGTAATTTGGTTACATCTGAGAAGGAGGGTTAGGTGGGCGGGGAGGGAGAGAGAGAGAGAGACAGAAACAGTTAGTAAACCTACGCAGGCATCTCCTCTCTAGCGTAGAAACTATAAAACAAAACAAAACAAAACAAAACCATTAAAGTGGGGAAGGGGGCAGGATGGGTAGTGCTAACAGTAAGGCAGTTTATGATTTTTTTTCTTTTTTGTTAGCCTTACCCTTTATTCTAGGAGTGGCTGCTTATAAAATTAGGTAAATGCATATTCTCTCCTTTTGCCTCAAATAAATTGTTGCCCCACTGTTGTAGGAAGAGAGAAACTATTCCTAAAGCTGTCCTAAAAATTCAATTAATATGGGGTAAGAGTGATTGGACAGGTTTTGAGGGTATGTTACACATGGTGTTGAGCCCAAGAAAGGTATTCTTGCCCATGTAATAAATTTGCTTTCAATACATAACTCCTGGGACAAAAAGTGAAGAGGGTTGTATTTTGTGCCTATAAGGGGAAAACCAGCAAAGTTTGTCCAGTGCTTATTAGATCATTGTGTCCAGCCTCTTAAGCAAAAGAAGTAGCAAAAGATCAGTTTCATCCCTACCACATAACCTTGCAAATGATTCACATAAATCCATACTGCATGTTAACAACAACAAGACTATTCATCTAATTTGCATCTAAGATAACAGTGTTGAGACAAGATCTGATTAATCTCTTGAAAAATTAGTCGAGATCCCGTGGATCCACTGACCATGTTTAGTCTAGTGACAATAGAGTTATTTACTAACCAGGTAACAAGGTCTTCATTTTAGGGATTGTTGAGGCAATAACTTTATCAATTTCTCCATACACGGTACTTTTTAACAATTTAGTTATGCCACAGTAAAACACTTTGTACACATGAGAAGAAGCAAGATTTTTATATGGTTTGTACTATCAATCAGACATACTGGTTGTTTGTATATTATGTGATGAAAATAAGGTGTATATTATTCATTGTTTTTTAACTTTTGAGAACCTATATTGTAATAATGATGTTTCCTCTTCCTCCAAACAATGCTGTGTAATTAATGGAGTAGATGTTAGTCATAAAAGACTTAACACTGATGCTTTTACATGCTGCCTATGAACTTGTTTTTAACCAGGAAAAATCCAGCCAACCAACCTTAGAATGGAGACATCTCCAGGATTCTGTGTACTCAAACATAGAAATTGTATTTTCCCGCATGAGTATTTTGATTTCCTCTCCTCATATCCAGCATTGATGGTTAAATTCACCAGGTGCATTCTAAGCAGAAGTCTTGAGCTGTGACAGCAGCTTCCAACCCCACCCTCCCTGCTGAATGTCTCTGGGAAGTATTCTTTTCCTCCATGGTTTCTTCCAGCCTTTTGTCTTCCTGACAGTTTCAGCAGAACTCAGGGAGAACTCTTAAGTGGAAAGGGTTTCTTGTTGCAGGCCAAGTTGGTTTTTTTTTCTTTTTTTTCCTTCTCCCAGTCATCAAAGGGAACAGAAGTCTCTTTGTAATCCTGACACAAGTTCTGAAACCCAAAAGGGATTCCCATTCTGAGCTCCTGATGAACAACACCAGATAGGGCCACACAATCAGCCATTCACAAGATGAATGCTTTTTTTTTTTTAATGGGTTTGTGCTTAGATTGTCCTTGTAAGAAAATCCCCTCCAGTGGCACGCAAGACACCAGGGAGGGTGAACTTAATAAGAAAAACCAAAAACAGCCAAAGAGCTTACACATCAAAGAAATCGATCAGAAGCCTCTGGCTCAAGGAGGGAAAAATGATTCTTACAATGTGAAATGGAGAAAAGTAACTGAAACTTATGTTCAGACTTATGCAGAGAAGTCAGATAGGTTCTCCTTTGAACAGGCATTAGTCTTTAACCTTGTAAATGGAGAAGAGTGACTTCCTACATGGTATGAGCTAGAGGAGGGAAAGTTCAGTTCCCTTTATTCATGTTAATGGCAAGGGGGCATAGACTTAGGTGTAAATTCACCCTCCTTTTCTGTGAGATGGGAGCAGATCAACTTTCAGAAGGATCTGGGTGAGCATGGTGGTTAATGGCACAGAACAGAGCACTGGGGAATGTGGTTCATAAAATGAGCTATGGAGAGAGGAAATCACCCAGAAATTTCTCTAGTATATTAGCAATGCTTAACATTTTTATTTTAATAAATACTTGGAAAAATAAAGATGTGTTGTCTGTGTTCTTCCCCCTAATGACCAGCAGAAAAGACCATAGAACTGGGAATTAGGAGACATGGGCTCTGGTCTGGGCTTTGGCAGCAGCTTATTCCATCTCTCCACCCTAAGCTCCTTCATATATAAAATGCAGAAATTGAAATAGAAGATCTTTAAGGATATTGACAACCCTGAAAGTATCTAAGTATGGTTATCATCAGTACTTACCCACTATATCAGGACTTACCAACTTAGAAAGTATCTAAGTATGCTTATCAACCCAGTACTTACCAACTCAGGGCCAAGAACAGAATGTTTCCTTCAAATGGAAGGCTTAGAAGAAACAACCGAATCAGTGACAACCAATCACAAAACCTCAAAATTGGAAGGCACCTCAAAGGTCATTTAATCCAACCCAGACCTGAACAAGAGTCCCCTCTAATAATAACCACATTTATATGGAGTTTTAAGGTTTGAAAAGTGCTTTATAAATACTATTTCATTTGATCCTCACAACAACCCTGGGAGGTAGATGCTATTGTCATCCTCATTTTACAGATGAGGAAACTGAGGCAGACACAGCTCAAATGACTGGCCCAGGGTCATACAACTATTAAGTATCTGAGTCCAAATTTGAGCTCAGGTCTTCTTTACTCCAGGTCCAGCACTCTATTCACTGTTTCATCTAGTTATCATTTCAAAATCTTCAACAAATGATCATTCAGCCTTCACCTGAAGACTCCAAATGAGAGGGAATTCTCTACCTGCTGTGAGAGTCCATTCCACATTGTGGGAAGCTCTAATTGTTAGTAAATGTTTCCTTACATGAAAGCTAAATCTGCCTCTCTTCAGTTTCTACCCAGTTATTGCTCCTGGTTCGTCCCTCTGGGACCAAGCAGAAAAAACCAAATCCCTTCTCCATGTGTACTCTTCAAATATTTAAAGACAGCTGTCATTTCTCTTTTAAGATTTTCTTCTTCAAGTTAAACATTCCCACTTCCTTCAAAATGATGTTCAAATGGCAAGATCTTAGAGTATTTAACCAACTAGGTTACCCTCTTCTCTATCCTCTCCAGTTTATCAACATCCTTCCTAAAATGTGTCTTCCAAAACTGAACACGATAGTCCAAATACAGTCTGATCAGGGCTGTTCAACATATTAGTCAAATAAGTCTCTTGTTCTGTATGCTCTAAATACATGCTAAGATCACATTAAGTTTTTGACTGCCATATCACACTGTTGAGTCAATGAATTTGAAGTCCACTGCTGCTGCACCCTAGACACTGGACCATGCTAACTGCCCTGTGTCATCTCCCCCAATTAGAAGGTGAGCTCCTTGAGAATAGTTAGGGACCCTCTGATTTTTCCATTTGTACTGCCAGTACTTAGCATGGTGCTTGGCACCTAGTAAGTGCTTAAATAAATACTTTTCTATGTCATTCCATGAAAAATACCTTGGTAGGAAGAATTGCTATCACTTCATGTGTCTTCCATCTTCTACTCATCAAGTTGATTTTTTGAACCCAAATGTAACCCTTAAAATGATGCCCATTAGATTTCATTTTATTAAATTAAACCCAATATCTAGCTTGGCTAGATCTTTTTGGAACTTGACTATCAACCAATGTGTTAGCTGTATCTCCTAGATTTGTTTCATCTGCAAATCTGATAGGTGTTTCAAAGACTTTTCTAAGTCATTGATAAAAATGGTGAATAACACAGGGCCATTCACAGATCCTTGAGCAATCTGCCAGCAGCCCCAAATCAAGTCTCCTCCCAAGCAGCCTCTTTCCAAGTTGACATCAACAACAAATTAAAGGCAACTCTTTAAGTCCAATAATTCAACAAGTTCTGAAATGACCGAGGGTAGTATCTCAACAGGATCACATCTCTCCATTTTTTCCATAAAAATAATGTGAGAGACCAAAATGTTTTGCTAAAATCAAGGTAAGTCATATTGCCAATATTCTTGTAATCTATCTAATAACTGTCAAGGAAGGAAATGAGGTTAGCCTGCATGTTCTTAATGAAGCCATGCTAGCTTTTTTTGATTGCTATTTCCTTTTCTAGATGTTCAGTAACCTTCCTTTTTCTACATTCTAGAGTTTTTAGCAAGTAATTTACAAATTCCATTTTTTCCTGTTCTCTAAATGCAAGATATTTGTTTTCATACTGTGTAACACATCATTGCTTCCATCATCTGCAAATCTATTTTTAAAATTTAAATTGGTTGATGAATTCTCAGTTCATTTACATTGGCCTCTTGAGGGTTTCCTGTTCCATGCTGGACGTCTGTGGAATTCTGAGCCATGGAATTCTACGTATATTCCCTATGAAACTCTGAAATCAGCTCTCCAAAAATCTAAGGAATCTGTCAACTTATGTAAGACTTCTCACCTCCGTCATGAAATCTAAGATAGAAGGGTGACTTCCTATCATTGTTCCATCAACTCTACTTGAGCAACAAGTTTCCTCTTATTGATCTGAATTATATCCAGAATGGCAGTTATCTTATTGCTTCCTCTGCCTTTTGAATGAATTAGGATAAATCAAGAATTCGTTAGATATTCTTCTTTTGGCAAAAACTCTAATAAATATTTGAATAACAAAAAAAATCCTATCAATACAATGTTGTGCTGCTATATCAGACTTTTAACCTCTATGAGGAATTCCTCAATCTCTTTCCTCCTTGTTTCTATGTGATACTTTAAAAAAAAAATTTATTAATTTATTTTGATTTATCAATAATCACTTCCATATGCTTTTGAGTTTAAAATTTTTCTCCCCCTTCCTCCCCACCACCCTCCCCAAGACAGCGCACAATCTGATATAGGCTATACATTTACATTCCTATTAAACATATTTTCACATTAGTGATGTTGTAAGTAAAAATTAGAACCAATAGGAGGAACGATCAGAAAGAGGAAACAAAACTCAACAAAAGAGAAAAAAAAATAGCAATTCAACTTCCATAGTTCTTTCTTTGAATGTGGGTAATATTTTCCATCACGAGGCCTTTGGAGATATCTTAGATCCTTGTATTGCTGGGAAGGGTTAAGTTTATCAATATTAGTCATTGCACAACGTGACTGTTATTGTGTACAATGTTCTCTTGGTTCTTCTCACTTCACTCAGCATCAGACCATACAAGTCTTTCCAGGTTTTTCTGAAGTCTGCCTGCTCATCATTTCTTATAGCACAATAGTATTCCATCACATTCATACACCACAACTTGCTCAGTCGTTCCCCAAATGATGGGCATCTTCTCAGTTTCCAATTCTTTGCCACCACAAAAAGAGCTGCTATGAATATTTTTGTACATGTGGGTCCTTTTCCCATTTGTATGATCTCTTTGGGATATAGCCCTAGAAGTGCTATTGCTGGGTCAAAGGGTATGCACATTTTTATAGTGCTTTGGGCATTTTTCCAAATTGCTCTCCAAAATGGTTGGATCATTTCATAACTCCACCAACAATGCATTAGTGTTCCAATTTTCCCACATCTTCTCCAACATTTATCATTTTCCTGCTTTGTCATGTTGGCCAATCTGATACCTCAGAGTTGTTTTGATTTGCATTTCTCTAATCAATAGTGATTTAGAGCATTTTTTCATATGATTATAGATGGTTTTAATTTCTTCATCTGAGAACTGCCTATTCATATCCTTTGACCATTTATCAGTTGGACAATGACTTGTATTCTTATAGATTTGACTTAATTCTCTATATATTTTAGAAATAAGGCCCTTATCAGAGATACTGGTTGTAAAAATTCTTTCCCAATTTTCTACTTTCCTTCTAATGTTGGTTGCATTGACCTTGTGCAAAAACTTTTCAATTTAATGTAATCAAAATTATCCATTTTGCTTTTTGTAATGTTCTCTATCTCCTGTTTGGTCATGAATACGTCTGTTCTCCATAGATCTGATAGGTAAACTATTCCTTGCTCTCCCAGATTGCTTATAGTATAGTATAGTAAGATACTCTTACAACAATATCCCTTCTGTTTCTCTCTCCATATACCTTGATCCAAATGCTCTCCATCATTCCTGTCCCCTCTAATTCTTGGATTGCCTCACGTGAAGACATTGAAACTTTAATAGATCTGCAACTTCATCAATATGGGTACCCCCTCCAACACTGATAAATTACAACCTATCCACACCAACAAACTACTATGTTCCATAATTCACAATATACAATATTGATGCTAAAAAGATGAACCTTAGGGGGTGGAGCCAAGATGGTGGAGTAAAAGCAGTGATTTGCTTGAGCTCTCCTCCAAACACTCCAAATTATAAAAAATGGCTCTAAACAAATTCTAGAGCAACATAACCTACAAAAAGACAGAGTGAAACAAATTTCCAGCCCAAGACTACTTGGATGGTTGATTAGAAAGGTCTATCATGCTGGGCTGGGAGAGAAACGCAGTTTAGCGTGGGTGCACAGATAAAGACCAGGCCTCAATGAACCTGGAGCAGGCCTCAGAGGACTGAATCAAGGGGAGGTGTGGTGGTTTCCATACTTCTCAACCCACAAAGGCCAAAGACAACTTAGAAGGTCAGTAGGAAAAGTCTGTGACTCAGGTGAGAGAGAAGCTCTGTCCCAGCCCCAGTCCTAGAGTAGCCCCTAGGACAGTGGCTGCTTCCGGAGCTTCCAGCCCACAGACTGAGGGGGACTATTGAGTGGCTGATCAGAGGGGGGTTGCAGGGATCTCTTTGCTGGTACTGAGGCAGGATTCTCTTGCTTGGATCTGCTTCACAGTTCTGGGTGGCAATCCTGGGGCAAGGAGGAGTGCTGGCATGGTAGAGCTTGTAGTCCAGTGGAGAGGGAATCCTCCTCACAGTTCCAAGGCAGAATAGAGTGCTTATGGCCACTCACAGACCATAGCACAGGCCAGGAAAGGAGTAAACACCTGGCCTTTGATCATACCACCTTGGAAGAACTGAAAATTTACAGGTCCCTAGAAGTATCTCTGAAAACAGCTGCACAAAACCCCCAAAGCTTGGGA